GAGCCATCGGCAGGTTTAGCAGCGACAGACGATGCTGGAGAAGGTGTGGAAGCCGGAGGGGGCCGGGAGGAGCCGGCTGGAGATGTTTCAGCATTTGGCAGGGAAACATCTAGAGTGCTCTCCTCATTTTCACCTGCAGAGGGCGGTGCTTCCCTTCTAGATGCTAAAGATTGCCTGGGAACAGTAGCAGAGGAGTTTCCATTCATGCAGAGCTCTTTGTTTTCTATCGCGTGGTACAGCATCATCCCCCCCAGGCCAACAGCACTGCTGGACGCAGCCAAGACTCTGTCAGAATGATGGCGCAGCAGCTACATATCTCCTTTTTTGAAGACAGTTCCAGTCAGAGATTATCCAATTTGTTTTCGAATGAGCGGACGTTGGAGAGCAGGATTGATGGAAGCGGCGGTCTGTGGGGATTTCTCTTTAGCTTCGCAGTTAGCCCCCCTCTGCAGCCTCGCTTTCTCCGTCCCGCGCTTCTCTTCCTCTGGCAGTTACGTTCCGCTGTTGTCTTGTTGCCATCCATCCTTAGCACTCTGCAGCTTTTTAAACGGTCAAAAATGTCTGGATTTAAAACATTTTGTGGCCGTAACTCCAGCAGGCGTTGGCGATCATAGATGCAGGTTTGATGTCCAGTTTGTATCATTTTAAGCTGCATTTTTTGGTGAAATTTTCTAAAGGAGCTGTTCTTGGCCGCTGCTGTGGAGCGCAGCCATGGTAACCAATGAAAGCAGGAAAAGAATAAATACAGAACTTTTCAAAACTGATGGTTGTTGGTAGTTAAATCATAGACAGAGGTTAACACCTGCTGCAGTTTCCTGCTCAGCTTCAATTTCCTCTCCTGCTGCATAGCACCTTTAATATAACATCTCTTCACAGAAATGCAATAAAGAGATTCACAGAAACTATCTATCTATCTATCTATCTTAATTATGTCAAAGATGTCAAATTGCTGCGAGAGAGAAGGAAGTTTATCTGTTTACTGACTTCACTATAAACTCTAAGGACCGTCAGTCCTCATCGTCTTTACCTTATAAGCCTCGCCTTTATCAGAGGAGCAGCTTCAGTCAAAGCTTCATCACAAAATGGCAAAAGAAAAACAAATAATCCAGCATTTCCTGTTCTGGAGCATTTCTCCAGAACACAAAGTAATCAAACCGCTCCTGAAGTAAAGCTAGAGGTCATCGTTCTCTCTGTCTCTGCACCCACACCTACAGAGGACGTTCCAGTTCTTCCAAAAGAACCAAAGCATAAAGATAAGCAGAAACAGGAGGGCCAAAGATCTGATCACAATGCCAAGAAACACTATGTTGAAGGAGAGCACAATGAATGGGTTCTCCTCCGGTTTGCGCTCCTTCTCGCTGATTTGATTCTTTGCTTTGCAGGTGAAGGTTTTAAAGCGTCGAGTTTCCTCCGTGTTTTCAATCTCAATCGTCCTATTTCCCTTCTCCCATGATCCGGATTCTCCTTTCTTCCAGAAGTACTGGATGGTTCCGGCACCTTTAATCTCTTCACCACACCTCAGTGTGCAGAACGGAGACTGACTGCTGCAGTTCAGAGACGCTATGACTTCAACTTCGTGATCATTGAGGTTCATGATCCATGTAGCTTCAAAGGTGTCAGGAAGAACCTTGTTGTTGATCTCCACACTGAACAGTCCTTCGTCTGCTTTCATCATATTCTTCACAGTCAGTATCCCGGTGGTCAGGTTCAGGTCTAACCGACCTTTCAGGTCACCCAGATATTCCAGATCGACGGAACCTTTAATCCATTCAGCTACTATGTTCCATTTATGCTTCCAGGTGATGCTGGTTATCGCACCAGAGACTGTAGGCCTCAGAACCAGAGAATCTCCGGTACCATAATACTGGACCTGAGCAGCGTCCAGATGAACCATCAAGCCCAACAGCAAATGAAGAACAGCAGAATGGATCCTCATGTTCTTACCTCTGTGAGTTAATGACAGAAAAAGCTAAAATGACTGAACTGAACTCACAAACACGTCCTCAGCAAAGTTCCTGTTGTGGTTTCTTTAGAGGACCAAAGTTCTCTGCAATGCATCAGAAGTAACCATATATGGATATACACCTCTACATCTTCTCTTTCTTATCTCAGATTATTCTGGTACATTACTGTGGTGGGAATTAGTTCCACCCAGTGGATTGTGGATGGGCTTTGGTGTATTCCTGCCGTGTGTTTCTGCAACATTGCTCTGCTGGTGTTAGCAGCTGCAGCTGGAGGTGTTGCAGCATGTGGTTTCCATCTAGTCCTCACCGAGCGAGCGGACATGACTCCTCTGGCCTCGTTGAAAGGCAGATGAAAACGGACAATGGCAATTTGTTCCACTGTTTGAAGTGCTTGCTTTTTTCTTTTACCGTCTGGTTGCTTATTATCAAAATTTCTAATGTGTTTGCATTTTGATTTACTAATATATTTCCTTTTGCATTGAATTCTTTGTTTGTTCATTTATTTATTTTCTTATATAATTTAAACTGCCCTTGTTTCTTATGATCTCTTTTCTTTCCAGGGAACGAGTAATAAGCCTAAAGCCATGTTTTAAAACAAATGTTTTAATGAAATTGTTTAATAAAATATTACATACTATTCTGTGTTCTTGTGCATTTTGTTTAAAAAGTTCCCCCTTTGCGGGTCACATTACTTTATAAGCAGCTCATTGACTTTATCACTTAAACCAATGAAGCTATTTCAGTCTTCAGCTTCCTGAAAAGAACCAAGGAGTCTAATTCTGCCTCCATCCTGCTGCATGAAAGCACAGCCACAGAGATATTAAAGGTTTAAACTTTCACATTAGTTAATATTGAAGCATAAAATACATTAAAAAGTAAATCAGGATGAACCCTGTTAGCTAATCTGAGCCAATTTAAAATAATTAATTTAGGTCAGGACTAGAGATTGAAGCATGGCTTAGGATGCAGTATTCGTTGTTTTTAAACAAACTCTTTTGAGGTATCTGACTGTCTGTGTGCCGTGGATACTGGATCCTCTGAGTCTTGACAAATTATCCTGTGGATCATATAGTTGCTATAATCAAGCCATCCATTTAATCAGCTTAATCAGAGTTTCTCTCAGTGCCATTTATCCTCAACCTTCAGCCAAATAAATCTGGTGTGAGGTACAGCTAAAAAAAACCAGTCAATGTCTAAAATAAGGGTTTGATTTCAGTCATTATTGTCAGACAACTTTAAAGACATTATAACCATCTTTAGCATTTGTCAACCCTAGGGAAAAAACAACTGTATTCCTTGGTTGCCCTGCTCGCCCATCCTACTTCACCTACAAACAAACAAGTAAAAAATAAATACTCCTAAAACCAGTAAAAAAGATTAACTCATTAAAGAAATATGAACAAATAGGTCCAATACATGGGAACCAACAGACAGAAGAGAACCCCATTCCAGCTGGATACATCCCGGACAGGCCCCCAATCCAGGAGGCCAGCTTTAGTCAAAGCTTCATGTGATGGCCAAACCTTGGGCCACACTCCATTAGAGTTGCTACCTCCCTCATGCCCTGTTTATTTAAATACAACACCAATTTAGTTTGCAATAAAATATTTCTGGGTTGGTTTAAATATATTTATTCTATTTGTAAGAGCACATATTTAGTTTATGCGTTTCTCTCAACCCATGGTACGGTGATGTTTTTGCTTATAGTTAATTCTTCTTTTATTTCTTTTTACCTATACTTTGTGCAGCTGCTTTGTTCACATTTTTGCCTGAGTTCAGTTTTTTTCTTTGAACTTTTCTGAGCCAAGCAGTTTATAATTAAATTTTTTTTTGGGTCAATTAAAAGAACTTTTTAAATTATAATTCCTGTGACTCCTTCCATTTTCAACCTGGTCAACCACACTTCAACACACATTAGCAGGAAAAAGGAAAAATATAATTAAGAACATTTATCTTGAAAGAAGTATCCCTCGATTTGAGCAGGTAGGTTAGATAATTTACCAATGGATAAGATTATTTATGTTAAAATAATCATCCATCAATTTATATTTAATCTAGAACAACTGTAGCAGCTAAAATCCTATATTTTAAGCTACTGGTTGCTATCTCTGAAAGGCGTTGGTTTTACCTGCGCTCAATTAAGATTATCATGCAGATTTATTAACATAACAATGCCCATAGTTTTACTAATTGCCTTTACATAAATACATAAGTAGGGCATTAAACCAAACACAGCAGAAAACTGTTGCCTCCTGTAATTAACAACACCTGAACAGAATCAGGGTTGACCTTAAATAACCCCATCCCCCATCAGACAATAAGAGCTCAAAATGAAATACGCCCCCTGGTGGCGATAAATACAGGAAAAGGCAAATGGCTCCTACAACCACCAATGGTCAAACGTTAAAGTCTTTAAAAATGTTTTACATTTATTTTGAACATTTAAACACTCAATAAAATGTCTCAACAGAAACTAGAAGCTACATGCTAACTATCCTGAGCATCATTTTAGGGCTATAATGGAACAGGAAGGTTTTCATTCAACTGGCTTTATCAGGGTTTCTCCCACAGGACAGAGATGCTACAGGAGCTCATGGAAACATCTAAAGCCTTCATGGATAAATCTGGCAGAAATGAAAACTACAGTTTGAGACTTGGACTCGAGAATGAAGCCTGCAGGTGACTTGGAGAAATGACTGGTGAGGATCTGTGCAGGTTCTTTTCTCCACAGCAGTTCACCTTCTGACCTGGTGGGATTCTTCATCTGCAGGGCAAAGTTTCAGCTCTTTGTTTTCCTCCTGCTTCACGCTTCACATCCTGAACGGCTCTGGTCTGATCTCTAAGGGTTTCCTCTCGCCCTGAGCTCCACCACCAGGAGGCAAACAGCAGAAGCCAAGGCGGCTTTCAACGGTGCCTTCTTCTTTCTGGGTGCCTCCTTTCACAGCAGGAACTGATAACTGTCATCAGGTAAACTTTAGAGGTCCCCCCCCACCTCCAACTATCTTCTACGATCAAATCTAAAACACTAGACAAACATCCGGCAGTTTCTGTTTTTTTATTTATGTTCAGCAAAGTTATGAAAATGTAAAGGGCTGCAGGAGCTTTTCTGCAGAACACAACCAGCTTCATGCATTCATCTCTCATTTTCAGTGCAATTTCTTTCCTGAATGATTTAAATGCTTTCTAAGCAAAGCTGAATAAAACATGGATTAATGAAATGAATCTTGATGAAGATAGAGAGCGAAGGTTCCCAGTTTCTTCTCAGACGAATGGGTTCTGCACTGGTTTGCTCTCCTTCTCGCTGACTGGGTTCACTGCTTTGCAGGTGAAGGTTCTAAAGCGTTGAGTTTCCTCCGTGTTTTCAACGGCGATCATCCTCTCTCCCGCCTCCCACGGTCCGGCTTCTCCTTTCTTCCAGAAGTACTGGACGGGTCCGGCACCGTTAAATTCTTCACCACACCTCAAACCACAGGTCGCTGTGACTTCAACATGGTGATCATCGAGGTTCTGGACCCACTGAGGGTGATCATCGAGGTTCTGGACCCACTGAGCTTCAAAGACATCAGGAAGAACCTTGTTGTTGATCTCCACATTGAACAGTCCTTGGTCTGCTGGCGTCATGTTCTTCACAGTCAGTACCCCAGTTTCCAGGTTCAGGTCTAACCGACCTTTCAGGTCACCCAGATATTCCAGATCGACAGAACCTTTAATCCATTCCGCCTCTAGGTTCCCATTTTTCTTCCAGGTGATGCTGGTTATCGCACCAGAGACTGTAGGCCTCAGAACCAGAGAACCTCCGGTCCCAAAGTATTTAATCTGGACCTGAGCAGCGGCCAGATGAACCATCAGGAGCAGAACAGCGATGATTACCTTCATATTCTCTACTTAGAGATGATCTACAGGGGAGAAACTGTTAGAACAGATGCTATGGAGCGTCCACCTCCTGACAGTCTGATTGCTTTCTGGTCCCTTTACGGTCAAAGACCCCTCACCCACTGGGTCCAATACCTGCAACTGTTGGGTCTGTTACAAGCAAGCCCTCTGATTGGCTGCACCTCAGCTCAGATGGTGCAACAGCTGATTTTCTGGTCATTTATTTATAATCTTTAACATTTAGGTCTGAAAACATCTAAAATGCTGGACTTGGTCCACAGTAGAGCAGAAGTTATAAGGATTAAGGTCCAGAGATCAGACGGGCCGCTCCGTGGTTCCAACAGGAACGCTGTGAGGTTTTGTTCTGTCAGCTCAGCATACACTGGAAAAACCATCTAGAATTAAAAACATATTTCTTAATTTAGTTGTTTTTACCTTTAATTTGAGTTGGTAAATGAGATGATTTTTCCCAACATGATCTTTATTGGTTTTAAACTATTTCTCACTAATAGTCAGGACATCAGTGTGCTCTCACATCGAAGGAAAAGTCCAGGGTAGTTAAATGATTGTCCAGCGTTCGACTCGTCTTTCCGGAGTATTTTAGAGCAGCAGCTATGACACACAGAGTATATGAGGAAATACAAACAAACAAATAAAAAAAGAACAAAAAAAAAACAAAAGATAATGCCCCCAAACCCCCCTGAGAAGAAACAACAGTTACAATAATAACGGTTTCCCAGAAATTAGCCCATATTATTTCAGTATTGTACGTGGTTCAGAAAATACAAACTCGAATATATAATCCAAAGTCGTCAATTATACTAATGAAGATTATCTTAAGACACCGCAGGGGACAAACTACAACTAGAACTCATCCCCGACACCCGTCACATCCAAAAATGTGGAAGAGGACGCCAGGGCGGCAGAAGCTTGGTTTGGTGTAGAAGGCTTCCAGCCGTACATGTTTGAGCCCTTGCCTCGCAACGCTGCCAGTTCTGTTAGCTCTACGCCTGCCGAAGACACAGACGTCCATCCCCGTGAACACTGGGACGCAACTCAATGGGAAAGGAAAGGATTCTGATTTCAACCGTTGCGTATATTAGCTGCGACACATGAATCAAGATGCTATGACCGAAAACATTTGATTGACAGATGAGCGTTGATATATGATTGGCCGAATTTAGGTTAAATATGATTTCCATATGACTTTAAATGTCAAAAATATGTAAAATGACTCAAGTCTGAATGTATACTGACCTAATAAGACATAGAATTCTAATTAAATCTAATTGAATGGAAATTTTAATTCATGCAGCTCTCATCCTTTGCCCGCTGGCGCTGGCCCCCTCCTGGCCCCCCTGGTACATTTGGTCTAGAACCGCCACTGCATTCGATGATAACCTACTGGCCCAATATGAGGCCGTTCAATGGGACTGATAACCACTAATAAGGATCATGCGTATGCTGGCCTGACAGAACAGCAGCCATGAACTGATTCATTAAACTGAAGGTTTTTCTGCTCATTAAAGAAAAAAACGACATCATTCAGGAAGATTAAGAAGATTAATACCAAAAACAATTCCTGTAGCTACAGCAGCATGTGTTTAATGTAAACTATAACAATCTGAAGGTTTACAGAAGAACAGGAAACAGCAAAGGAAAAAAAAGGCATCAGTTAATCCAGAAAATGTTTTAGTGTTTTTAATCCCGTTGGGATTACTGCTCATAATTTACAGGTTCTGTTTCAGAAATCTACAAAATATACCAGAATTTCTTACAAACTGAATTCATATGAAAAAAAACCAACAAAACAAATAAACTTATTACAATTTAAATATTTAGGTTTGGTCCCAAAATTGATTAGAATTTCCTTTAAATTAAAGTGCAGAGATGAACTGAGGTTTACAGATGTTAGAAAACAAACCATCTTTCTGTAACATGAGAACCGTGAATCAGACGTTGGTCCTTTAACCTAAAGTTTGTTTTTTTCCCTTTGAGGGATTAAATTAGCAGAGAAGGTCAGACAGGAATGTTAGAAGGAGCCCTGAGCTCCAGAGGATCGTTATCTGCTCCAGACGCTGGAACCGGTTGGTTTAAACAGCTCAGTGAGGCTCTAGTTAGTGCTGATGATCTAGAATCAGCAGATCTATAACGGGACTCTCCATCGGGCGGTTCTAGAATGGATTCATGTTTCCACACATCAATCGTCTGATGTTGGATCTGTTTCAGGCAGATGAACGGAGGTTTCTAATGGCCTCCAGCAGGCGGGAATCACCATGGCGATCAGTGACTCAGCATCTTCTCTGGTTTCCACCTTTTTAGCAAACCAGAGCTGATGCTGTCAGAACCGTGGTCCATGGAGAACCAGCCGCTCATATTGATCATTCCTGCAGGTTCGCTTTGACCTGCTGCAACTGTACAGAAAATAAAACTGCTGCTGGAGCCGATCCGTTACCTGAAACCAGCCGATTCGTCTTTCACTTTTACATTTAACGGATCAGAACCGTGACCCGCTTCCTGATCAGAAGCTAAAGCGGATCGTGTTTCCCATGTTCTGGATCACTGGAGTCCGGTTCTGATTTGTTCGCAACAGGAATGTTTCACGTCCGACATTTTTGCTTCGCTTCCTGCCGAAGGCGTGGACGCCATGGCAACGGCCAGGAGTTTAAAGACCTGAGGAGGAAGAAGAGAGTCCACGCCGCCAGAACCTCGTCAGGCGGCAGGAAACCTGGAGACGGCTGGGCGCCGTGAGGCAGCACGGAAAGACGAGGCCTCTGGCTTCATGTGTGGTTTGATTTCCACCTTTCATCTTCGTACAGCAGAGCCTGCAGACAGAAACACAGAGAACAGAAGTTAATGAAACAGAACAGCAGCTTCTATCCGGGTTTAAAGAGAAACAAAAAAACAAGTTTTAAAGTTCAAATAGAAAAGAAATACTTATAATTTGATAGTAGGTAAAAAAAAAATGAAATGCATAACAAGTGAAAAAATGTCCAGCATTTTGTTGTTTATAACAGAGGTCTTCAACAGGGGGTCCGTGACCCCTAGGGGTCCACGGAGGTACTGCATGGGGGTCGCAAAAGTTTTGCTCAATTAGACTTTTTTATTTTCCCTCCAGCAATTTTTTTCCATTAATTGAAATATCTTTAAATCCACATTAACATGAATCCAACACACTGTAGCAAACAGATAAATGGAGGCAAAATATGTGGAAAGAAAGGAAAATATATCATCACACACCATAAAACCGCTCTAGACCCCCCCTTGTCTTTGTCCTTTAAACACAAAATGAATCTGAACAGTGGATGGGAGCATCTACCATCAGGTTCTGTCAACCAACCGCCTCCTCAGTTTTAGAGGATTTAGAGCTTTTCCTGTCAGCCAGTTGGAACAGTTTCTGGATCCGTGACGGTTGCCTCACCTTGCTCTCCAGAACCCGGCCGCGGCTCGGGCTGCTCAGCTCCTCCAGAGTTTCGGCTGCGGGTCTGTTCAGAGTTTCAGGCAGCAGGAGGCCCAGGCAGCCTGCAGACAGGCCGCTCAGACAGAACACCGTGAAGGGCATGGAGGCGTGGAGAGCCCGCTGGAACAGACACAGACGTTTAGAGGACACATCCTCTGGTCACACGTGTTCACAATTAGCTGCGTCCTTTAGTGTTAGCATGCTAGGATTAGCACATATTGTGTATAGAACCGTCTAAAAAACTCATTGCTTTCACCTAAAAGGTTCAAAGCATGAAAACATGAATACAGAAAATATTAAAGCAAAGAACAATCCAGGATTTAAAAAAGAAAAAAACATCCCACACCATGATCATAACTTCACTTACATTAAAGGTAAATATTGACCATTTTGTCATTATTTAAGTGGAAAAGTTTTGAGAGAGGCTTTCCTAACCCTGCTTTTTCAAGGCCCACTGGCCTCCATGTTTTATTGTTTCCCCACTTCTGACCTGAACGAACAGGTGATCAACAGGTGACCAGATTTCTGCATTTCCAGCTCCAGGGACAGTGATGCATTTATCCATATTCAAATATTTATTAATATTTAAACAACAAAAATTCAGAATCTTAACCCTATTTTCTATTCATGTGTGCATAGATCCAGCTGTTACTATATAATTTTTTTAAAAGATGTAAATGTCAAGTTTAAAGTTAATGCATATTTAACTTTTTCATCTTTGATCGTTCATAAAACGGTAAAATCATGGACATTTCCAGGGACAGCTTTAGCTGGAGACAGTCCCTGGAAATCAGGGACGTCTGTTCATCGTATTTTTGCAGCCATTAATGGTAGAGGAGGTAATGTTGATATTTGATTGTTTGTTGAAACAGAGACAAACCTAAAACATGAAGGACCTGGAGTTTAAAGTAAAGAAGTGGGAAACAGATAGATTGGTAGGTCCTCTGCATCCAGACAGATTTAGGATCAAATAATTCCTCCTTCCATGAGTTTTGTTCTGCTTGTTGCAGAGCAGTGTAACGACAGGACACCGCACAAGATATCAGTTGATAACAGTGTAAACGCAGGAGTTAGCTGCCCTTTAGTATTAGCATGCTAAAGTGTTTTCTTTAGTATTAGCATGCTAAAGTGTGTCCTTTAGTATTAGCATGCTAATGTGTGTCCTTTAGTATTAGCATGCTAAAGTGTGTCCTTTAGTATTAGCATGCTAAAGTGTGTCCTTTAGTATTAGCATGCTAAAGTGTGTCCTTTAGTATTAGCATGCTAATGTGTGTCCTTTAGTATAAGCATGCTAATGTGTGTCCTTTAGTATAAGCATGCTAAATTGTGTCCTTTAGTATTAGCATGCTAATGTGTTTTCTTTAGTATTAGCATGCTAAATTGTGTCCTTTAGTATTAGCATGCTAAAATGTTTTCTTTAGTTAGCATGCTAAATTGTGTCTTTTAGTATTAGCATGCTAAAGTGTGTCCTTTAGTATTAGCATGCTAAAGTGTGTCCTTTAGTATTAGCATGCTAATGTGTGTCCTTTAGTATAAGCATGCTAAATTGTGTCCTTTAGTATTAGCATGCTAAAATGTTTTCTTTAGTTAGCATGCTAAATTGTGTCCTTTAGTATTAGCATGCTAATGTGTTTTCTTTAGTATTAGCATGCTAAATTGTGTCCTTTAGTATTAGCATGCTAAAATGTTTTCTTTAGTTAGCATGCTAAATTGTGTCCTTTAGTATTAGCATGCTAAAATGTTTTCTTTAGTTAGCATGCTAAATTGTGTCCTTTAGTATTAGCATGCTAATGTGTTTTCTTTAGTATTAGCATGCTAAATTGTGTCCTTTAGTATTAGCATGCTGAAGTGTTTGCTTTAGTATTAGCATGCTAAAGTGTGTCCTTTAGTATTAGCATGCTAAAGTGTTTTATTTAGTATTAGCATGCTAAAGTGTGTCCTTTAGTATTAGCATGCTAAAGTGTGTCCTTTAGTATTAGCATGCTAAAGTGTTTTATTTAGTATTAGCATGCTAAAGTGTGTCCTTTAGTATTAGCATGCTAAAATGTGTCCTTTAGTATTAGCATGCTAAAGTGTGTCCTTTAGTATTAGCATGCTAAAGTGTTTTCTTTAGTATTAGCATGCTGAAGTGTTTTCTTTAGTATTAGCATGCTAAAGTGTGTCCTTTAGTATTAGCATGCTAAAGTGTGTCCTTTAGTATTAGCATGCTAAAGTGTGTCCTTTAGTATTAGCATGCTAAAGTGTGTCCTTTAGTATTAGCATGCTAAAGTGTGTCCTTTAGTATTAGCATGCTAAAGTGTGTCCTTTTGTATTAGCATGCTAAAGTGTGTCCTTTAGTATTAGCATGCTAAAGTGTGTCCTTTAGTATTAGCATGCTAAAGTGTGTCCTTTAGTATTAGCATGCTAAAGTGTGTCCTTTAGTATTAGCATGCTAAAGTGTTTTCTTTAGTATTAGCATGCTAAAGTGTGACCTTTAGTATTAGCATGCTAAAGTATGTCCTTTAGTATAAGCATGCTAAATTGTGTCCTTTAGTATTAGCATGCTAATGTGTTTTCTTTAGTATTAGCATGCTAAATTGTGTCCTTTAGTATTAGCATGCTAATGTGTTTTCTTTAGTATTAGCATGCTAAATTGTGTCCTTTAGTATTAGCATGCTAAAATGTTTTCTTTAGTTAGCATGCTAAATTGTGTCCTTTAGTATTAGCATGCTAAAATGTTTTCTTTAGTTAGCATGCTAAATTGTGTCCTTTAGTATTAGCATGCTAATGTGTTTTCTTTAGTATTAGCATGCTAAATTGTGTCCTTTAGTATTAGCATGCTGAAGTGTTTGCTTTAGTATTAGCATGCTAAAGTGTGTCCTTTAGTATTAGCATGCTAAAGTGTTTTATTTAGTATTAGCATGCTAAAGTGTGTCCTTTAGTATTAGCATGCTAAAGTGTTTTCTTTAGTATTAGCATGCTGAAGTGTTTTCTTTAGTATTAGCATGCTGAAGTGTTTTCTTTAGTATTAGCATGCTAAAGTGTGTCCTTTAGTATTAGCATGCTAAAGTGTGTCCTTTAGTATTAGCATGCTAAAGTGTGTCCTTTAGTATTAGCATGCTAAAGTGTGTCCTTTAGTATTAGCATGCTAAAGTGTGTCCTTTAGTATTAGCATGCTAATGTGTGTTCTTTAGTATTAGCATGCTAAAGTGTGTCCTTTTGTATTAGCATGCTAAAGTGTGTCCTTTAGTATTAGCATGCTAAAGTGTGTCCTTTAGTATTAGCATGCTAAAGTGTGTCCTTTAGTATTAGCATGCTAAAGTGTGTCCTTTAGTATTAGCATGCTAAAGTGTTTTCTTTAGTATTAGCATGCTAAAGTGTGTCCTTTAGTATTAGCATGCTAAAGTATGTCCTTTAGTATTAGCATGCTAAAATGTGTCCTTTAGTATTAGCCTGCTAAAGTGTGTCCTTTAGTATTAGCATGCTAAAGTGTGTCCTTTAGTATTAGCATGCTGAAGTGTTTTCTTTAGTATTAGCATGCTAAAGTGTGTCCTTTAGTATTAGCATGCTGAAGTGTTTTCTTTAGTATTAGCATGCTAAAGTGTGTCCTTTAGTATTAGCATGCTAAAGTGTGTCCTTTAGTATTAGCATGCTAAAGTGTGTCCTTTAGTATTAGCATGCTAATGTGTGTTCTTTAGTATTAGCATGCTAAAGTGTGTCCTTTTGTATTAGCATGCTGAAGTGTTTTCTTTAGTATTAGCATGCTAAAGTGTGTCCTTTAGTATTAGCATGCTGAAGTGTTTTTTTAGTATTAGCATGCTAAAGTGTGTCCTTTAGTATTAGCATGCTGAAGTGTTTTCTTTAGTATTAGCATGCTAAAGTGTTTTCTTTAGTATTAGTATGCTAAAGTGTGTCCTTTTGTATTAGCATGCTAAAGTGTGTCCTTTTGTATTAGCATGCTGAAGTGTTTTCTTTAGTATTAGCATGCTAAAGTGTGTCCTTTAGTATTAGCATGCTGAAGTGTTTTCTTTAGTATTAGCATGCTAAAGTATGTCCTTTAATATTGCATGCTAAGTGTTTACTTTAGTATTAGCATGCTAAAGTATGTCCTTTAATATTAGCATGCTAAGTATTGTCTTTAGTATTAGCATGCTAAAGTATGTCCTTTAATATTAGCATGCTAAGTATTTTCCTTAGTATTAGCATGCTAACATTTGTCACTAGCTGATCCATCCGAAAAGCACATTTCAACAATCAGATATGTTTTTATTTTGTAAAAAAGAAACCTACACTTTTTCACTCCTTAAAAACAGTAAGCATACTAAAATATAATGCTTTAAATGTTGAAAATAAATTTCCTGAGAAATTAAATTCATTAAAATCCTTTCTGTTTTATCACTCTGTGCCTGATCTGTACAGGAAATGGGATGCTACGCTACTTCCAGGAGCTAACTTTATCAGCTTTTGATTTAAACATAAATCTAGTGTTTATGAGTTTCATGTTTTCCTTTTTGTGTTAACATTATATAGTGCATAATCTAAACAAAGAAACATCTAAAGTGCAGATAAACATGGTTTAATAATGTTTTGCCAGACTGTCTGACGTCATCATCGGACATGATCAGAGCAGGCTGTTTAATGGAGAAAATGTAAAAAGCATCAAATTGTCTCAGAAAAGTCATAAAACATTTTTTAAAGATGTGTATTAGCATTCTTTAGTGAGTTAAGGACAGAAATAAGTAAATTTTATTGAATTACTTTTTTTAAACCCAAATCTATATCTGGTTGCACATGAGCTGATGGGACGGATCGGGCAGTGACAATGTGTCCTTTAATAATAGCATGCTAAGGTGTGTCCCTCAGCATTACCTTGCTAATGTTAGTCCTGAAGTGTTAGCATGCTAACATGTGTCCCTTAGTAGGTGTCCCAGGCACTATGTCCCTATACTGGTCTTAGAGCGCCACAGGGTTCCCCAGCACAGCTGGAGGAGGCGTCTGAGGAGATAGAAGCCTGTGTTTTTCTGTCAGATCAGCATATCCATAGTCAAAACCTGCTGTTTATCCCTTTAGTTTTTTAAATTATTATTATTTTTTGAGTACATGACTAAAGGGATACGTTACACGCCCGTCAAGGTAGATTAAAGTGTATTTTAGAACAAAACTAAAGGGATAAACGGGACTATTAACACGTATGCAAATCTTGCGCATGCATATTGACTATGGGTGTGCTGGTCTGACGGGGTATGCTCATCTGACAGAACACCGGGAGTCTCTGCTGAGTCTGATGCCCCCGTGACCCGGTCCGAGATGAAGGGCAGGACGGCAAGTAGAACTTTAGTGAAATATTCAGAGGACGCCGCTGGTTGGGAATTCAATTTAATCAAGTTTATTTCTATAGCGCTAATTCACATCATGTCATCTCAAGGCACTTTGCAGTTCACCAGATTGATTTAAGGTTTTCTAAGGAAAACCAGCTGACTGCATCGACTCATTGACTCTTCAGCAATCCCTCACACTAAGCATGCTTGTAGCGACAGTGGAGAGGAAAAACTCCCTTTTTAAAAGGAAGAAACTTCCAGCAGAACCAGGCTCAGAGTATATTTTAGTTTTGCCAGACAGAGCATTTTGTTCTGGGTGTGGGCTGAGGTCGTCATTATCATCACTTTCATTTCATACAAACTCTGAAGATCACTTTCACTTAATAAAATGAAGGCTTCACTGAAAAGCTGATGAAACTACATGTCAAACCACTCTGCTAGCGAGCTAGCTAACTACAGACAATCCGAAAACAGTTCCTGAGTTCATATCAGTGGAAAAAAGGTGGATCATATAATCATGTCTTCCTTTTACCTTTTTAAAAAAAAAAAAGCTAAGCCGTCAGATTATAATTTCACTTCATTGATTCCCAGCTGCTGCATCTTGGTTGTCAAAATTTAAATGTTTATTTTATTTGCCTTTTTAATGGATTGCTGTAGTATCTGGAAGCACCACCAGGGGGCCTTCTATGCTTAAGCTTCAGCAGACTTTGCTGCCCATGAGAGCAACTGACCTGGAAAGCCCCAAAGTTCACTTCAGATGGGGATTTTCTCCCCTGAAGCAAACCTCTCATGTTTTTTTAGAATCAGACTGTTTAATATTTAATGAGCTGCAGGCCGTTTATTCTCGGGTTGAAAGCGGGTCGAAGGTCAACAGGAAACGTGTTACAAATCAACCAGGAGATACAGAGGAGAAGATCTCCTGCTGATATAAACGGAGGGTTTAGTGAAGTTTCTGTTGAGGCTGGGAGTCCCTGAAGTGTTCAGGGTGTGGCTCAGTTTCTGACTAAAAATGTTTCTGCAGCTCAGAATGAATCAGCTGCCTGGAATTTTACTGAGGGAAATTCTGCTTAGATCAGAGAAACATTCCTCTGCAGCTGTAGTAGAGAGGAAAGAGCAGGGAATCCTGGCTCTGTTAGAGGAAAGAAAACCTCTCTGCTGACTCGGCACTTCACGAGTTAAAGTAAACACTTCTCACTTTCTTTCTGTGATGTAACCCGACCCTCTGTCCACGCTGACCCGTGTTTTGAACAGAAATACGCTTATTAGACTAAAAGCTTATGAGTTGATAGAGTCCAGATGTGATGGAGGGAGTAACACCCTAAACATGACAGGGGAGATGCTGTCCAACTCTGAGCCAAAGTATGAAACAGAAAGATAACCGAGATGTTTTTTACAGGAAGTGGAATCTTCTGGAAATGAAAATGAACTGAGGTACTCCCTTCCTGTTCAAAGGGAGTTTTTCCTCTCCACTGTCGCTACAAGCATGCTTAGTGTGGGGGATTGCTGAAGAGTCAATGAGTCGATGCAATCAGCTGGTTTTCCTTAGATAGAAAACTTTGGATCAATCTGACTGGATGATCTGGTTGATCTGGATCTATAAAGTGACATGATGTGATTTGGAGCTCTAGAAATAAACGGAATAGAATTGAATGTATCACTCAGGGGCGGATTTAGGAAATTTTGGGTCCTAAGCAAAGACAGGCAGGGGGCCCTCTAAATAGAGAAGACAACACATAAAACAGCCCCATTCTCCAGATGTAGAAATGTTAATAGAATAGACATCCATTATCTGTTCTAGGTTGTGTCCCTCTCTTCTTGTCCCTTTTCTTCTTGTTTTCCTCTCTATGTTTTGTACTCAGCTGACTTTTCATGCTGTCTCTAAAGGAATGAAAGATTTTTTCCAAGCACTAAGCTCACTTAGCTGATTGCTCCTTCCTGTGTTTCCAAAAAGGCCAAAGTAAATAACCCAGTCCTTCTTTTCACTGTAGACAAGCCATGATCTGCTTCTCTGTTCTCCATTTTTCATTTGGATGAAATAATAGCTGCATGAATCATGACAGCAGACAAGATAGAGGAGAGCAGGAGGCGGGGTTACCAATCTACTCGCTCTGGAGAGCAGAGTTCGCTGCTTTTAGATGTTGTCTCCAAAGTCTCCAGTAGCAGAAAAAAGTCTCTAGATTTGGCGCTAGGAGCTTTTTAGAAATCAAAGTGCTAGAGGGGTCTGAAAAGTGGCTAAATATAGCGACTAAAGCGCTAAGTTGGCAACACTGCTCTTTGCATGGTTTGTTTTCAAATGGTTTGCTGCTGTCTGTTTGGACCTTTCTGAACATGTGCAGCAAATGGACTGATCCAATATGGTGGACACTGAAGGGGGGGGGCTGAGACACACTTAATATTATCAGCGTTCTGATGGCATTTTAAAGAAAGGATTTTTAGCAAAAACATAATTAATGTGCAGAAATAAGGAAAAGTTGTATTAACCATACATGGAAACAGAGTTTTATGGGGCCCCCAGGAACTTGGGGCCCTAGGTTATTACCTAGTATTGTCTAATGGTGAATTCCCCCCCCCCTTGTATCAGTAAATAAAGATGTGAAGAAACTGCGTTCGCCTCGACAAGCAGAGATCTGACAGAGCGTGACCTGAAACGCCTTCTGCTAAAAGGAGTTTAAAAAAAGACGGAAAACCAAACTGAGCGTTGGAGGAAGTTCCTTCCCTCCAACAGCACCGTGTGTTTTTGCATAAATTCAAACCTTTTCTGTGGCCTGGTCACTAGAAACTCACCATCGAAGGAACGAACGGAGCCAGGATTCCTCCGACTCTGCAGGACATGGAGCAAACGCCCAGCCCGGCGTTCCTGCGGCACAAACACCTCCGTTTACGTCTGAACTCCGACCCGAACGGATCTACGTGGAGACGCCCGGCTCACCTGATCACGGTGGGGTACAGCTCGGACGTGTAGACGTAGGCGATGTTGAACGCCGCGCTGACCATCAGTTTTCCCAGCAGAGCCAAAGACGTGACGCTCAGCAGAGTCCCTGTTGGAAGAGCAGCAGCTCGGCTCACGTTTCTCACTCATTATGAAAATAAAGTCACTCTGCAGAGAAAAGCACGACGCTGAGCGACTAACTGAGCTTTAAATATGATGACGAGCTGCAGTTTTACTGTGAGATCCGCTTTTTAAAGAGGTCAGTAACTGACAGCTAACTTTAATGTTTCTATTGAAGGCCTAAAACAAAACGCTCTCATTTAAAGTTCCTGTTGGACGCAGTCACAGAATAAGGAAGGATCACTGTAGCTGCCATCGGGGTCAACTAATTACATTATATCACTGTTCAGTTAAAAATGAGTTCATTCAAACTATCAGTAAGTCCATGTTGTTAAGGTTCATGTATACTGGTGAAGATTCTCAGTCAACCAGGTCATAGTAATTACAAAAAAGTAGAAAAAAAGTTAGAAAATAATCCACTGGACTTTGTTTCCAAGTTTGAAGACGTTTCGCTTCCCATCCAGGAAGATTTTTCAATTCCAAATGTGTTCCAGGCTTTATAGAATGGACCAACAAAGCCTTGTTATGGCTTAGAAAACATGCAAATAGAACCAAAAGAACCTGTTAGTAATGGGGAGTGGCTGAGGTTAGCCTGCATTAGAAGCTTCGTGTAGTTTGGCTAAAAAGAACCTTAAAAATAAGGAGGAACCTATCATTGGTTCCGCATGTCACGTTTCTGCCCCTGGGAAAGGTCGACTGACACAATTAGAGAGCATCACTATGGCCGTTTCTTAATTCACAAGACCGTGAGTACAGACTTGTTTTCTCCCCAAGTCTGTTCTTGACTAGAACCCAGGAAATGAGATACGCTATCGATAAAAATTATTTTTCTTCATTTTTCAGCGCCTTTTTATTTCTTTACAAAATAAAAGTTAAAAAAATTATTTATTATTCTTTATTATTAAATCAAATAAAAGGTTGCTTCAATCAAAAAATATTTTTTCAATTAAAAAAATCTTCACTTCAATGAAAAAAAACTTCAATTAAAGAAAAAAGTGTTTGAATGCAAAAATGTATTTGTGACTCAAAAAAATAGATTTAAACTCTGCTTTTCTTTGATTGAAAATGTTTTATTTGATAGAAGTGCAGTCTTTTATTTTTTTAAAGCAACTTTTTTTTAACATTGTTTTTTGATTGGACCATATAATGTGTAGAACATTTGTGTCTTAATCATTCAATTCCCAAAAAATGTTTCAGTCAAAAAAAAAAAAAAAAAAAATCAAAGAAAAAACTACAAAGGAAAAAAAAAAAAACCCTATAAACACATTTTTTGGTTTTTTGGAAGTGAAAAAAAAAAATTGAAGTTCAAATTATTTTATTTGAATACATTTTTTTTTAAGTGCAAAAAGTTTTGAAGTTCAAATTTTTTTGATTGAATAATTTTGACACAAACGTTCCGCAGTGGGCGGGTGCTTCTCTATTGGTCAGACATGTTTGATTGACAGAAGCTTTTTTTCATTGAAGTGAAGATTGTTTTTATTGAAAATATATTTTTTGATTGAAGCAACCTTTTTTTTTGATTGAACAATAAAGAAACAAATATACCTTCATAGATTCTTCGATCATTAGATGCCTGCCGCTCTAACGCAGACGCGTTCACATGTGAACACGCCATCAGGTCAGCAGACGCAGCTGCAAACACGTTTAACCCTCTGCATTTTATGCCTTTATTTATAATCATTGTTTCATTACATTTATTAAAGTGACCAAACTTAAACCTTCCAGTTCTCCTCTGGCTGTCAGAGAAAACGCTTCAATCAGTCGTTCAGATATTGCTTTAAAACAGGTTTTAAATTATTCTCTGCAGCGACGCCATTTTGGTTTGACCTACATGACGTGTCTGACCTTTGACCTCCACTGAAGCTGGTTTTCGTCTTTCTAAAATGACAGCGCGGAAAATCAGCGGAGGAGTGGTGCTGTGGGCATGTGCTGGGAAAGTATTGGGTTACCATGGCAACCAGTGAGCGCGTCACTCGGCTAGTTCCCATTAACGGTGAAGGAGCTGATGTGGGGTGGGTTTGTGGGGGTTAGTTCCCTAAATGTTCATAATGCGATTAAGAAACAAACAGAAAGTTTAAAGCTGGCAACTCAGGAAGTAAAGAGGAAGTAGGATGGTTGCTGATCGGATGGCGTCGTTGCTCAGTGAACCTCTGCAGGCTGCATCATATCCTCTGCAGCAGCAGCTCACCTGTGTTCTCTGGGATCAAGGTGCTGCAGAGGCAGGCGCATCCAGCCAGACACAGGAAGGTAGCCATGCTCTTCCTCCTCCCAGCCCTGAGCAAACACACACAGAGCAGGCAGCTGGTCAGACAGGAGGCTGCAGGGATTCACGTTCATTCATTTTATCACAGCTTAGCTTATTAGCATCAAAGCAGAAGCCCAGGAGCCGCTTTACTTCCTGATCTCTGAGGAAGCTGCGGTCAGAAAACCAAACGTTTTTTCCTGGGAGGCGCCAACTTCCTGTTGCTCACCCTGTTTTCATCTCTTCAACACTTATAAACAGCTGAAGGGTCAGTAAATGTCTGTAAACACATTAGATGTTTGCTGATAACAAGGCGTGAGTGACGAGTGAAGGTCACACTGCTGCTTATAGACAGCTTCCTGTTAGAGAGGCAACAGGAATCATATCTACAATCCGTACGTCTAAAGGGGGAAATTATACTGATAAGTGGCCAAAGTTATGCTAGTTCATTATTAAAAAGCACGAGGTCAAAGTCCACCAACCTATAAATGAACTACAGCAAGTTCATTTGGTAAATGAAGCCTCAATCCTCCACAATAGAAGCTCATATTTCCCCCTTTAAAATGTGTGATCATAATATATAGAAAGAAACGTAAAATACTGGATCCTGGATGCAGTGGAGCCTTTATTTAGCCAAATTACACAGAACTTCAGAAACATTCAGGTTCTGCTGAAAAGATCTGGATCCAGAATGATTTCTTTCGTTCCTCATTCAGTAGCAGATATTTCCCAGCTCGGATGCTTTAACTCCATTACCCCATTTACACTACCCTTAAAAAACCGGTCCGAGACCGGTCCGAGCTCAGTAACTGAGATAACTTATGGTGTGTAAATGGAAAGCAAACTGAACTGAACCGAGCTAGACCCAACCGGACCGAGCTAGACCCAACCGGACCGAGCTAGACCCAACCGGACCGCGCTAACTGCAGACCAGTTCCAGAGGTGGGCTCGGCTCGGTTTTTCCCTGGCTCGGTTCTCTGATAACAAGAGCGCATGAGCAGAACGCGGCATCTCCGTCTGGCTGCACATCGCCATTCACACTCCATTCCAGTAGGTGGCGGTAATGCCCCTCCGGAAACAGAAGAAGAAGAACAACTTCTTCTTCAACTATAAACAACAATCGAAATCTTCTCCACGCAACATTTTAAATAATAACACCAAAGCACAGTAATAATAATCAAGCATAACTTTCTGAATGTGACGGGCGCCGCCATTTTGATCTGCTTGATTCCCTCCTTCTTCGTCTTCTTCTTCTTCTTGTGTTTTATGGCGGTTGGCAAACAACTTTTGGTGCATTACCGCCACCAACTGCTTGATTTCCTCCTTCAATACTGGCAGTAATACCGCAGATCGTCACTAGGAGGCGAGGAACCGAGATAGCGTGATGCGTAAACGGTCATCAGAACCGAGCTGGGCTTGGTTAACTGATCCGAGCTCAGATCGGTTTTTCACAGGTAGCGTAAATGGGGCTCATGTGGCTTTAAATTTAACCTTCATGTGTACTGCTTTAAAGCTTCATGTGAGGCACTGACTGCAGCTTTAGGAAAAGCTCCAGTAAATTTATTTGACTATCTGATAATCTGACTCAGTCAAATGAGGAACACTGCCTCAGTTTGTGTGACGGCAGCGCAGGAAGGGAAAAAATAAAACTGTCTGGTCAACTTTTAAGCTCTAAAATTACTATTAATAAATCCTGTGTCTTTATCATCTGATTACAAATATATTTCATTTTGTCAAAGCTATAAAGAACGTCTGATTATCTAGAGGAATAATCAACTTTAGGTTGTAGAAAGATCAGCAGGATTTCCTCCTGCAGGTTGAGGAGGAAATTTTCTGACCAAACAGGAGAGCAGATGTGTCTGAAATTAGGCGAAGCGTCTGAACAACAGAAAAACATTCAAATGATGGAGCTGCTGCTCCACCACGCTGCAGCACGTCTGCTTTAGTTCCCCCTTAAGAATCAAACTAAAGGTGGAAACTTCAGAGGAAATGAACTTGTGATCAGACCGTTACGACGTGTAGGCAAAATAAATCCTGTCCAGACTGATCCTGATCATGATAAGACTTGAATGAAACGTGGTTAGAAGTCAGAGCTGCTCAAGGCTCCAATCAGCAGAGTCTCCTCGGCTGAGCATCATGACCTCTGCTGGTTTTCTGCTTAAGAGATTAGAAGGTTTTCTCTTGTCTCATGCATGAAGCAAAGGCATGAAGCAAACAACAAACTAAAAGAGCTGAATGTTGGGAAGACTAACGCAGGAAGGAAGGAAGGAAGGTTAGCGAGAACATGAAGCTAAAACTTGGAGCTGATAGGAGGAAACATGCAGGAAGCACAGAGTGTGAGCGTGTTCTTCTCACCAGCTCTGGTTGATAAAGTAAATACAGAGGGGATAAGCGGGCAGCTCCACCAGGCCGTACATGGCCACGTTAACGAAGCGGCTCCCCGACGTGTCGCCTGCTCCCAGCGTGAGGCCGTAATACACCAGACTGCACGCATACCTGCAACACAGAGCAGACGCTAGGGTTAGGTCGCTCGGTTCAAAGTGACATCATTCAGCTCGGGCAGGGCGACTCCATTAGAGCAGCGTTCCCCTTCGGACAATCCGAAAAAAGTTAAACAATCCACCGAACTTTGTTTCCAAGTTTGAACGCTTCTCTTCCATCCAGGAAGCTTTTTCTATTCAAAATGTCAGAAATAGCGTTTAGTTCCAGGTTTTATAGAGTGGACCAAAACAAAGCCTTGTTTTTACTGAGAAAACATGCAAATTGACACCTTTTCCTGTCTATGTCTCTGATAGGGGGGAATTAAAGGGAATTGTTGGTCCCTCTAACGACCCCCCTTTCAGAGACATAGACAGGTATGGGGCATTGCAGGCTAACAAAGAAGCCAAACGACCCCCATTCCAAAGGGGGGACCCGTTCATCCGTTTCTATTTGCATGTTTTCTAAACTAAAACCAGGCTTTGTTGGGCTGCTGGATAAAACCTGGAACTAAACGCTATTTCTGACATTTTGATTGAAAAATCTTCCTGGATGGAAGAGAAACGTCTTCAAACGAGGAAACTAAGTCCAGAGGATTGATTTATTTTTTTTTTTACTTTATTTAGAATGTACAATAAGTGATTATAAAATAAAAAGTATTTTATTTCATGGACTCCATGTGGGACCGGGAACAATTATTCCTCTTTTCCTTCATTCTAAAACCTGAATGTGGGAAACTTTTGTTTTCCATTTTGTAGAAAACAACAGTATCACTGCTGGGCGGAGCCTGAAAGCTCATCGTAGCGACGGACTGAGGAGCTGTTTTCCAGAGAGAGTCGGAGCCAGACGCCTGCAGGTTCAAGGTTATTTAATCTCCAGTTTGCTCCAAACTGTAACCTGTTCTGGTCCAGTAGCGAGCAAACCCGCCCTGCTCACAGTTAAACATTGGGTGAACTCCCTGGTCTGGAATGAAGGCCACTGACCTCATTTCTTTGGTGATAAGAGCTTTTTTTTTCCTGAAACCTGAGCTCCTCATCTCCAACCTTCCAGCTCCACATGTTTCCTTCAAGGCTGTTTGGTCCCCAGAAGGAGAGCTCCACACCCAGCAGGATTCATCCTCTACTGCCCAATGTGTGTCACATCAGATGATGTCATCTTAGCTGGACGCGCCTTTTGAACATCAACGGTTTCATTTTCTCTACTTCATCCTCAGTCTGAGCTCATTTCACTGGAAGCAGGAAAATACAGAATAATAGCCATTTACCCCGATAGAGAAGGTGGCTGAGCGGATACAGAAACAGCTCCTGCTTTTAACCCCCCCCCACTTTGCTTCATTCCTTGTTTGTGAAACTAAATCACAGCAAACAGAAGGATCTGAAGGCAGACTGAGGGACATCCGTCCATCATGGGCAGCATCAGAGGAAACTACAGCAACGCTTCTTTCCTTCACACTGCTAAAACTCCTTAAATTAAGTGTATTTACTCTTAATCTGAGCAAATAAATAAGCTTATTTGCCAATGGAATGAGTATTTATTTTTAAAATAAGATAATTAGATAATATGCACTTGGACTGAGACAATGCAATTGTTTTTTTCTTATTTTAAAGGTAAATCGTCTTGTTCTATTGGCAAAATATCTCTTTTACCTCCTCAATTAAAGAAAAAAAAAACATTTATTTGAAGAAAAAATGACTTATTGAGATTTACATATTTTTGCAGTTTATATATAAAGCTGACTAAAAGCTTCTCTATTATTAAACTGGCACATTATTGTTTTAGGTTTGTGATACTACATTGGAAAATGGAAAACAGATTTACCTTCACAGCCTCAGAACGGCGAGATTTATGGACAAAAAGTTAACCTGGACATGAAATCATGTTTTGTTTTTATAAAGTGTTTTTATTATGTTTGTTGTTGTTGGCATTCATATAAATATTTGATTGGTTTTTGGTATATTTTTAATTTTTCCTGGGAGGAAACCATCAGCTGCCACTGCTTGTAAGTAGAAAACCTTCTTTCAATTTGGGGACAAAATGAAGCCATTCAGCTCATTATTATTGTTTTATATTATTTTTTTTCATTGATTTTATCCACAATGGTTCATGTTAAAAACGTGAATGATAAATGTTTTGATCAAAGGCTGTTCACAAGTCTTCACAACTTTTATTGGAGCAGATTCTCTTTGATGAGGTGAAAGTACACCTGGCTCAGTTCCCACTCAAACCTTTGCTGCTTCAACGGTTAAAGTCTGTTATTAGAAAAGGATTTTTTAATTTAGCAAAGTGTTTAATAAGCATAAAGAAAAGTTTTTCTTAATCCGTCATTATAGCAGCTGCAGTGGACAGATATTCCCTGAATATTGTAGGTTTGCATGCAGGCCCGATGACAGTGAAAATATTATACATTCATTTTTAGTTCTGCATTTCAGGCGGAAATAGATTTGAGCTAAAAGTTAAATATAGTTACAACAGAACTGAAGGGTTCAGCAGTTTTTTAAGAGTCATCTGGTTTGAATTTTCACAAAAGAACAGTTTTTTTTAACTATTGTATATTTTCACACCAGTTGCCCAAAACATTAAAAATCCATAGAGAAGAAAATGATGCTTTTATTTTTTGTAAAAACACCGAATGAGACGGAGCTTCTTTAAACGTGAGGCTGTGTTTGCGTTGAGCTGGACGGAGGCAGCGAACGCTGCAGACCCCCTGGGGGGGGGGGGAGACACTCACCACACGTACATGAGCACCATGGTCCTGAGGCGCAGGACGGGATGGAGCACCAGCTGCAGGACTCCGCCCCCGTTCCTCACAGGGCTGCCGGGTTTGGCGGCGCCAACGCGCTGCAGCATCAGGTGGGAGGCTTTGCTGCCGTTCCTCGCCGCCATGTAGAGCAGAACCTCAAATTATAAGAGAGAAAAACAGAAATGAGAAAGAATAAAGCCTGATGAAGCAGATCAGGTTATATGACTGGAAGTGTGGTTTGAAGACATGATGAAGCTCAGGGAACTACGGTGGCCCAGAGGGAAAACTTAATGCTATCCAACTTTTTGCTCTCTCTGTATCTCTGCTTCTGTCTCCTTGAACCCCAGTGGGCCTCAGCAGATGGCCGCTCACACTGAGCCTGGTTCTGCTGGAGGTTTCTTCCTGTTCACGCCGTACGGAGGAAGGTCATGTTTGTTTATAAACTTCAACCAGCAGGACAGGCGAGGAGCTGCAGACAAACTATGAGGGTCAGAAACCCGAAGCAGAGCAGAGAAGTTTCTGAGCTTCAGCTATTCTTCCTGATTTTATCAGAGGAAGGAAAAAAGAAACGCTCCAAACTGCAGTCATCGTTCCATCTCTCAGTCGGCCATTTTTCAAAGGTTATGGAGACTGAATCACGGAGAAGGAGGAGAAACTTCTGCCTCCTACATCCTCTGTGAGGAACATTAATAAGTCGACTGTTTCAGATGAGAAAGGAGTCTAAAAATGAGTCACAGACCAACCACAATGGAACCAAACAGGAAGTGATGTCACCAGATTACAGCAAAGGTTTCAGCAACAGACCAGTACTGTCGGACCACAGGGTTGTCAGTGGGAGAGGAGCCATGTTGGCTGTATTTATCACTTCCTCTAACTCAGCTCTTCCCTCACGGCCTAAAAATAACGACCTTCTTGCAGCGGTTTTCTGCAGAAGAAATGATGTCACACAATCGAACGGAAGCGACGGCCATGACGGGTCTGCAGATACGCTTACCTCTTCAGCTCGCTCCGTCTGTCCCTGAGAATACAGCCAGCGTGGGGATTCTGGGAGAGTTCTGCAGGAGCATGCAGAGAGAGGCGTTAATGTGAGGAGCAGAGCTCCAACCTGCAGCTGGTTTGGTTTGATAGAGCTGCTGGTGCTCCTGTAGAGGATGAGGAAGAGCTAGAATGGTTCCTAGAATTTCTAAAAGTAGAATGGGAGGCAGATCTTTTAGTTATCAGGCTCCTCTCCTTTAAAACTTTCCTTTTTGATAAAGCTTCTAGTTAGAGTGGCTCAGGTTATCCTGAGCTATCTCTATAGTTCTGCTGCTATAGGCTTAGACTGCTGGAGGACATAGGGACCCCTTTTCATCATTCTGCTTCATTCTATCTCTATTCTCCCACTCTGCAGAATCTGTTAGTTCAATCTCTAATGTTCTGCTCTCTCTGCATTTTCTCATAGTAGCTTCATGAGGTTTCTTCCTGTTCAAAGGGAGTTTTTCCTCTCCACTGTCGCTACAAGCATCCTTAGTGTGAGGGATTGCTGAAGAGTCAATGAGTCGATGCAATCAGCTGGTTTTCCTTAGATAGAAAACTTTGAATCAATCTGACTGGATGATCTGGTGAACTGGAAAGTGACCTGAGATGACATGATGTGAATTGGAGCTATAGAAATAAACTGAATAGAATTAAATAGAGTGCTTCTGTCTGAGCTTCTCATATCAAGTCAGCTTAGCTGTTTTCCTCATTTACTGACCTGCATCCTGTTCCTGTTTCTCACATTAGTTCATTTCCTTCGGCCGTAGAAAAGCCGCAGCAGAGATCAGAGTAACCTATTCACGCGGTTATCCTTCATCTCTTCCTTATTTTGATCTCATTCTCATTCATGCATCTTTTATCTCCTTTCTTCGTCTAACCTGCAGCACCTCTGTTGTTTTATATAAACTGATTGAAATCAGCCGAGGGCGGGAGAAGCACTTTGTAATCCCACTGTGATTCAATCCTCCCCTTACAGACAGGAAACAGGGAGAGTTTACGGTCGTTTCATCCTCTGCAGCAAACAGTTTAAAGATGTTTAAAAACCCCGAGCTTGTTTTAAGTTAATATAGGCGTTAATAAACTGTTTCAGAGGAGTGATCATAGCGCTCTGCATCAGCAGTGCTGCGTCTGACTCCCTGCCAGCTCCCAGATCAGCTTCTCTCATTGGTTGATGTGGCGCGTTCAGCAGCTAACACTCCAGCAGCTGCTGATTCTGAAGCTTGTGTTTAAGATGAAGTTAGTTTGACTTAAACTGAAGTGAAACCAGAGCTGCTCCACCAGTAATAAATAAATAATAAATCAGTAACATTTGAACAAAACACTGGAATTGAAATGAATCATTAAAGCTTTGAAAAGGTGTTTGTTTTTCTTTCATGCCTGAGCTTTCCTCTATTTAGTGAGGGAGCCGCAGCGACTGCAGATGGATCACAAACACCGGCCCACATCTGCATCTTGACCCCATCACAATCTGCAGACAAGAGTTTTACTCTTACTGCAACAAAAGACGGAAAAGAGGAGGATATAGGAGGAGCTCTAACTCAGATCTGTCCTCTGAAAGCTCCTCTTTCTGCTAAAACGCTCCATTTAAAGTAACGTCCTTATTTCTAACTCTCTAACCTCGGATGATTTTATGGCTCTAAATAAAAAGCTGTGCAGCAGCAGAGTGCGACGGTTTTTCTCTTTTCTCGTGCATGCTCCCAACCCAGTGTAATTCTGGTGAATTTCAATGGTGAAGTCCTCTGGAAATCTTCAATAATTGTTGTTGATTGCAGATGTGTCTAGTAGTTCCCATTGATTTAGCTGATTTGATTATTCCTTTTCTTTCTTTCTTTCTTTCTTTCTTTCTTTCTTTCTTTCTTTCTTTCTTTCTTTCTTTCTTTCTTTCCTCCCTCCCTCGGACCCGTTCTACCTGGATCCGGTCTCTCAGAGGAAGCAGCCATCGGCTCAGAGCTCACCTAAAACACACCATCAATTATCTACGAAGGAATCTTTGCACAAAAAGCAGCTTGTTAGCATGCTAACGCTAGCTCAGCCCCTCTGGCACATTCCTATAATTTAGATTATAACATTTTATCTGGAAAGTAATAAAATGCAGATTATATTTGCAGAATCAAATGTTAGCAGAGCAGACATGGAGCTGCACTCTCTCTCTTCCTGCTAAAGTTGGAAGCCCCCCCCCCCGAATCCAGTTAGCATGCTAATAAACACAGGATCTCCTCCTTTCCTTTTAGATTAACGTCATTGTTTTATTTAAAGCTGAAGGTTTACTCACACAGACATCAGGAAGAAGAGGACGCCTGAAGAGTTGGCCACCATGGCCAGAGTCCTCCAGGGCCGGATGAAGTATCCCAGAGCTCCGAACAGAGCGATGCCCACGGCGAAGATCATGCTGTTCAGCGTCCCTGCAGAGGCAAACATCTGGGGTTAGGATGGGCGGTCCGGAGTCGGTCGGAGAGCCGGTCAGACGCCTGCGTACCGGTCATGGCCCAGTAGGACTTCCCCACATACTCCTGAGTGAGGACGAAGCAGACCAGGCCGATGCCACCGTTCATCAGGCCCACCAGCAGGCGGGACGCCGCGAACACCTCGTAGCTGGGCGCCATGGCGGTGACGTAACCAAAGATCACCTCCAAAAGCAGACCTGAGCAGCAGAGAGATGAAGACGTGAGGAGGAGGTTCAGTCGGCTGGTCTAATGCTACCATCACACCGAACAAACTTTGAGCTAGAGGTGTAAATCACATCCATCATGGCGAATCGATTCAGCATCGATTTCCTGACCCAACGACTCGATTATTTACGATACTCAAGAATACACCACGATTCGATTCGATTGTTTGTTTTTGTTTTTTTCTTCACCTTACAGGCTAGACAATGTTTCAAATTTGAAATAAATCAATGAAAGCTGTAATATAGTTATGTTTTTTTTTTTTGAGTAGCACAGACCACGCTTCAATATTGAGCATAAATCAAAAATGTCTGCATCAAGCTAACTGCGACACATTGCTGTAAGAGTATAACCAGGAAGCGAGGTAGGAGGGCAAAATAGGTTTAGCGCCACCGCAGCACGGGAGGAGAATTACGCCCAGGAGCAAATGGATAAAAATAGACCGGAGGAAAAAAACAAAAACAATACAGTGCATAAAATTGCACTGATAAACTAATTTAAACTTTTGGCTTCAAATTCAATTTTAGTTTATTTTAAGCTCAAAGCTTTTCTGCCACATGATGTCTTTGGGTGTCAGTTTTCAACCTTTAACAAGATCCCAGCAACCAACCAAGAAACAAAGCAAAAACACTCATTACTAAATAAAATGCAACATACAATAAATTGACCTTAAATTACAAAAACAAAAGTGGAAACACTGTCCAAATATTAGATCATTATCAGAGCATCTTCAAACTATCAGCACAGATCTTTACCTGCTGGGGACTTTAAAGAAGCACAAAAAGTTATAAATTTGAGAACATTGCCAAGTTTAGAAAACGCCTGTAAAACTTCTGACCATCACATCACAGGTGTTAGAGAATCTAAACAACATTTAAATAACGTCATAAACAGCGTCTGTGATTTCCCTCCAGCTCTTCCTGTTTCTCTCTTATGGGATCGCTTTTCCAGAAGACGAGGCCGACGCCAACGGCTTCACAGCTGATTTATTGTTTACAACATTCTACATTTTGCAGAGGATGACTTGTTAGATGGTGGAATAAATTTGTACTGCTGCCTTTTGCTGCAATGGTTTTTGAGCACGTCTTTCAAATTAGCGCCTTTTGTTCGACGTCCTCGGCGTGAAATCCAAACTGCTGCCGTATATCGCTGCCCTGAAACACCTGCTGTCGCCATTTTTAGTTTGCTTGTAACTAATCCTTGGGAGGAGGGGTTTATGATGCATTCAAAGAGCGTGGGGAAAATAAAACTCAGTGAAATAGATGCAGACGGCTTAATGTTGTCATGTGAATTTGTACTCGTTGTCTGCGAGTCTTTTTAACTCGAGATCCAAGGAGTATATTGGATATATCGCCCACCCCTAGCGTCAAGCAGCAAATATTCACTTTTTCCAACTCCAGCAGCTGCGGCTTGTGAAGCGCGTCACTCGCCTAATGAAGCGCTGCTCCTGCTGCTCAAAGCGCGTTTGGTTTAAACGCAGCATCAGACACTAGGAGGGAATTCTGTTCCATTAAAGAAGAACATTTTCTGCAAATAGAACTTTTAAGAAATACAATGAAAAAAATTAATTTGAAAAAAGTTTTGAGAGAAATTTATTTTATTTTTTTATTTTGTTTTTTCAATTATTTTTTTTTAATATTTTTAAATTTGTTTAATTATTCTAATTATTCTAATATCTTTAAGGCTGCAACTAATGGCTATTTTGCAAAACGATAAATAATTCAATTATTTTTTAGATTAGTAATCGGATAGCCAAAGGTTCATTAAAGAGGATTTTTTACTAAACGAAACCAGGCGAATCTTTTTCAATTGAGGAGTTCTGGATAAAACACATTGAGAGATGAAAATGTTTTTTTTTGTTTTTTTTTTGTTTTTTACATTTTTATTCTTTTATTTATTTATTTTATATATATATTTTTTTTTTTACAATTTTGGTATAAGTCCTGCTCTAAGTGTGTCGCTCTGTCAGCTGAAGCCATGATTTATCTATATCCAGTCTATATTCCAGTTAACGATGAATCGATTACTAAATTAGTTGATTATTTCAATAATCTATTAATAGTTTTGAATGTTTTTCTTCAAATTTCTGGAGAATTTCTTGCTTTTTTTTTTGCATTTTCCAGATCCCGGTGTCAGTATCTAACTTCACTTGCGCCTCTTCTCCTGTTAATACGGTAAAGCCCTGGGGAGCGTCCGGCTCCAGGCTGCACGTGATCCAAATGAGCCAATGAGCTGTCAGTCTGGGTTGCTGCTGCTGCTACTTTTAGACACAGCAGGCAAACCTGTGGCAAGCCGGGCGATGGGAAAGAAGGAGAAGACCATGAGAAAAAGAGAGCAGAGAAATTGTGGACTGCTGGAAGAACTGCGGTGAACTGGTGAAAGGAAAGTGAAATGGCGTGCTCAAAGATGACCCTGCACATTTAGAGGATGTTTGGCTCAACCTGCTGCTGTGAAGCAGGATTCTCCACCATGAACAGAATCAACAATAAATCTGGATCCAGGCTCAAAATGAGCTCCTTGATATGTGCTTGAGAATGGCTTAGTCTCCGGTTAAACCCAGGTTTAAAGCCTTGCAGGGCAGCCTAAAGCCCACTGCCAACATTAAGACAGAAAAAAAGAGAGAAAAGGCTTCAGATGTTATCAGTTCATGTCAAACATCTCAGGAATTTACCAAGCAACCCAACAACCTCAGGGAACGGGAGGAGGAGTCCTAATAAACACACAGCGCCTGCTGTAGCGCCTGCTGCAGCCGCTGTCTGACTGAAGGGAACGGATCTGATCCCTCCTCACCTGTCAGGTAGACGGGTCTCCTTCCGATCTTATCAGAGAGCGGCCCAAAGACGACGTTCCCGACCAGGAGCCCGGTGAAGAACAGCGACCCGGCCAGGCTGACCTTATAGGCCTGCTGTCTGACCAGAACCCACTGGGGAGGAAAGATGGAAACCAGTTAAAGCCTCCCTGCTTCCCATCCTGATGTGGGAACAGCTGCAGGTGTTCTGCTGTCAGACCTCAGTGACGATGGAGTCTGCTTCCTCTGTGAAGGTGACGTGGCTGGACGGACCGTCGGCCGGTTGATCGACCCGGTACTCTGGTGTGTATCCGACCAGAACCACCAGCATGGACTGACAGGCCATGTAGACCTGGAACACAGCAGGAGGGGAAGCGTGTCAGAACCTGCTGAGATGCGGAGCGGCGTCAGATCAGCATAGCTCGTCATTATAGAGCCATCAGTCTATCGATCAACTATGATTCCAACTCTAGATTGAATTACTTTATTCATTTTAGCCCTACTTCCCTAAATGTTTACTCCACTTGTCAGTCTGCCATTGAAAATAAGAGCTTGTTCTTATTGACTTGCCTGTAAAAATAAACTATTTTCCATTCTGATTATTATTAGAAAATTAAGAGATTTCAAATATAAAAACAGTTAATTCTTCCTAAAAAGCAGGGGTTAGAAATAATGTCTATAGAAGAAATATTAATGTTAATGATTACAGGATGTTTTAGTTGGGTCTAACTTGATCCTGCCTCTGGCAAAGGTCAGGCTATTACAAGCCACACTTTTCAGATTATTTGGCAATAATTTCATAATCCATATTGGATCTTAAACTGGTCTGCCAGATAAATTCCCCAAAAAATAAATCCCTTTGTGGTTATGACAGTCATTCTGTAAGGCATAGTTTCAGAATATAGTAATCCAGGCTTAAAACCGGATTAACTAGGTGGTTTAATAATAAAAAAGAACTTTAATCTAAGGTAAAAAACTAACAACAACAAAAAAGTAGAGGATCTGGATCCATATGGAAACATTACTGCACGTTTCTCAGCAGGTTCAACAAACAAACACCAGGATTTCTTTTTTAATTAAACTAATTAAATAAGTGTTTTATTAAGATGTTTCCAGTAGATTATAATCGGATACACGTCCTGTAAAGATTTTAAATCCTGTTTTGATCTATATCTTTATAAATCTGTCTGCTAATTGAATGGGAACTGTTCGGATTAATTAAAATCTATAAACAATGATAGGTAAATATAAATAAAACTGTTTTTTTTTTGTGTGCCATTTTTTAAACTAACGCGGTGTTTTTAGTTAGTGTTAAAAGCGTTAAAAGTCTGAAGCGCCACGTAGCATTAGCCGCTGCTAGCCAGCGGACCGTTAGCGGATTCTGCTCGTTTTCTCCTTCCGGTCAGGATTTAAAATGAGACTAACCTGAACCAGGACGAGCGCGGCCACAGCCCGCTTCTGATACGGTCCAAACTCCCCCACGGTGTGAAAAGCTGTCTCTATATCCATACCACCGAGGAGGAACCGGACAGGCTGCTAGCCGAGCTAGCATCGCCCCGCACGACCAAGATGGTAACCTGCTTCCACTTCCGGGATATTTTATTTCAATTTCATCGAATATTCAACTTCAGGAAACATCACAGCTAAAAGCTATTGTTAACATGCTGACGCTTCAAACAAATTTATTTATCATTTAGCGTTTTCAGCTGCTTTTAAACCCGAATAGTTTTAAAAAAACTACCGAGGTTTCTATACGCTGTTTAGGTTGAGAGTGTGCCCTGCGTTTACTTCCTGGTTCGCTTTGAATATATTTTTACTTAAAAGTAGTTTCATTTTGATTTATGTCTACAAATAATAAAAAAAAAGTTGTAGAGTTATGGCTCACACATTTATTGAAAATTGCACTTAAAAAGAATGGGTAAAACATAAATACAGAAGCGTTAAAAAAAAAAAAAAAAAACTGATAAAGGTCAAGGGTGGTTCCGGCAGGTTGTGGTGGTGACGTCATCTGTCTTCTTACAGAGCAAAACAGACAAAATGAAAATATAAAATACACAGAATAGCTCCGGAAGAACATGAAACTCATTGTTAGATAATGTAGAAATATAGATCCAGAGACATTCCTAAAACAATGAACCACTCTATAGACATTACTTCTTCCAGTGATTTTAAAAAGAGCAACTTAAAAGCATGTTGCATATAAGCAAAAAATATACAGCAAATTAGTACGTGCAAGGTTCCTGTCACTGAGGGCGGCTTGATTTCTTAACTCCAACAACTAAGGCACTGTGCGCCTTAAAATTCATACCCAAAAAAACAAGGCTTTTTAAAAGCAAAACATGTTAAGATACAAATAATTTACATTAATAATTCATCTCAGCCTATAATTGTCCAAAGATCTCTCTGAGATAACCTTTCCTTATCGTCTAAATGTTCATCATTCATCACCAGGCTGGTGGAATTATGCTAAATGCTTGTTTAGAGGAACATACAGCATCTTGTCTTCATAACTTCACCCAATAGTCATTCAGGACATCCCAGGCGTGCAGAAATTGATAGATTGTGTATAAATACTAAATACCTGCCCAGGTTTGAGCAGATGGCAGCCATAATTAACAAAGACGCCTTAAAACAAATGTTAATCTCAGTGACCTTCATACAAGCAGCCATGGAGAGAGAATTTCATTCAGGTCCATCTGCATGGTTGCAAACACACAATGAGAGAAGCTGGATATATGGGTGAAGGTCTTCACTGTTCATAACAGTTCCGTTGCCATGGTTCCTCTGGGAAGGTTCTGGACAGCGATGATGTTCTGATGCTGATGTATAGATTCCAGATGAGACACATCAGTCCTGTCCCCGCAGTGACGCCACAGTGGTCCAAGCACTGAAACTCTAAACCTCCTGAGTTTTTTGATTTAACGTCTCACTTTCTCCGTTTCCTGTTTGATCTTTAGGGGTTTGGTTTTGAACCGGAGGGCGAAAACAAAACATCTTGTTTTTCCGCATGTAGATAGTAACCCCAACTGCAACGGCAGCTATTATGAGACCTATAACAATCCCAAAAACAGTCCCCCAGTTGACAGGATCTGTCTTGTTGAATGGGTTCTCCTCCGGTTTGCTCTCCTTCTCGCTGACTGGATTCTCTGCTTTACAGGAGAAGGTTTTAAATCGTCCAGTTTCATCCGTGTTTTCAATCTCAATCGTCCTCTCTCCCTCCTCCCATTTTCCATTCTCTCCTTTCTTCCAGAAGTACTGGATGGGTCCGGCATCTTTAATTTCTTCACCACACCTCAGTGAGCAGCTCTGGGACTGACTGCTGCAGGTTAGAGACGGTATGACCACAACTTCGCTATCATTGAGGATCCTGATCCATGTAGCTTCAAAGGTGTCAGGAAGAACCTTGTTGTTGATCTCCACACTGAACACTCCTTGGTCTGCTTTCATCATGTTCTTCACAGTCAGTACCCCGGTTTTTAGGTTCAGGTCTAACCGACCTTTCAGGTCACCCAGATATTCCAGATCGACAGAACCATCAATCCATTCAGCTACTATGTTCCCTTTATGCTTCCAGGTGATGCTGGTTATCGCACCAGAGAATTTAGGCCCCAGAACCAGAGAACCTCCGGTCCCATAATACTGGACCTCAGCAGCGGCCAGATGACCCAGCAGGAGCAGAACAGCGATGATTATCTTCATAGTGACGATCTGGAGACGATTTACTGGGTAGAAAGCTTCATATCAGGCGTTAATATCGACGTTTGACCGCATAGACGTCCACACCCTGCTAGCTTCCTATTAAAATGGCGGCCTGAATGTTCGCTCATGCCGGGGCTCCACCCAGCGCGGGCATGAGGGGGTATAAGGCAAGTCGTTTTATCACAAAATCAACTTCTTCTGACTATCCGTCATTAGTTTTAAGATATTAAAGAAAAGGTTTTGACGATGGAACCCTAAATGTTAATTATCCTGAATGATAATTTAAGTTAATTATATTATGACTAGTTAAAATAACAATTCAAGATATTTTCAGTTACATTTTGGAGAATTAAAAAGCATTTTGAGATATCTCACGTCATTTACAGCGTCACACATCCGGACTTACAATCAAGATATCTCAAACGTAATTACTGACAAGCTAAAATTACATTTTAGGTATACGAATAATGAAATATCCTGTCACTACCCGATCCGTTCAGCGCATGCGCTGTCAGTTTATCTGCGCATCCAGATATACATCCGGGTCGTCCTTGATTTAATGTTGTTAAAAATACCTAAATGACGTTTTTCCCTCCCTCAAAATAGTAAACGTACTAAGATACAGTGTGTTAAAGTTTAATAATGTATTGTCTGAGGAAATAAATGCATCAAAATCCTTTCTGTTTCATCACTGTTCTTTTTTTTATTGATAAATACAGAATATCAATGACAAACTCAATAATGAATATTACAAAAAACAAATAAGATCACAACTCCTATTAACTCCAATAAAAATTACAGGCTAGAACAAGGAAGAGAAAAAAAACTAAAAATAAATTATTAAGGACAGGGGACCAACTGAATTCTTACATTAAATCAGACAATTTGCTTTAAGGTTCTGCATCTTTTTCAGACGTCGGTTAAAGGAGGAAAGTTTGTTTTTGAGAGCAGAGAATGAGACAGAGCATTTTGCATAATGACATTTATGGATAAAATATTTGGTTATAATCATCAAAGCATTAACTAAGAATTCCAAATTTTTTTCATTGATATATAAACCAAAATGAATTATTTGTAAGGAATTAAAGCACACATGTATAGATCTAGAAGATAGAAAGATCTGAAGTAGATCCCAGAGGTTTCTTACTTCTTTACATTCATAAAACAAATAATTAGTAGTTTCCAATTGAGTTCTACAGAAACCAAAATTCCCAACATTGAGTTTAAATCTCTTTGGTTATCGTAGATTTGTTAAAATTTTGTAAGAGAAATGTACGTTTAGTTGGACCAGGGTACATATTATGTATAGAATATTGATACAAGAACCTATTGGTGCATTTATTATCTCTAATGCTCAATCTGAAGCTTATGGAGTCTTGGAATAGAGGAATTCGATATACTGTTTTAACTGACATAAGAAGAACATTAGGTATACGACGTAAAACTTTATTGTAACTTGTTAATGAACAATCAGTTCCATAAAGTGATTGTTCATTAACATATATATATATATGTGTGTGTGTGTGTGTGTGTACAGATTAGGGCCACTGAAAAAAAAAAAGTTAACTGAATTTTAAATTTTATTTCAGTTTAACATGGGTTTTCTCAGAATTCTGACTTTTTTCTCAGAATTCTGACTTTTTTTCCTCAGAATTCTGAAATTAAGGTCAGGATCCTGACTTTAATCTCAGAATTCTTAGGGAAAAAGTCAGAATTCTGAGATTAAGGTCAGAATTCTGAGATACTAAACTGAAATAAAATGTAAAAATCAGTTAACTTTTATTTTTCAGTGGCCCTAATCCTCTTCCGTACAGAAGAGCTATGTGTGTATATATTTTTATCTTTATTATCTTGTGTAGTTGGATATATATATATATATATATATATAAACTGTAACTGGAGCGTGTAACAAAAGTAATTTCCATCTGGATTATTAAAGTATTTCTGATTCTGATTCATGAAGCCTGTTAAAATTTCCATTTCCATCCATTAAGTGAGAAATTGTGTTTTATCACTGTTCTCTACGCGACCTGCACCGGAAATGGGATGCTACGCTACTTCCGGTGGCTAACTTTGGCTTTAAACATAAATCTAGTCTTTTTGGGTTTTATGTTTTTGTTTCCTGTTAACATTACGGTATATGGTGCGTAATCTAAAGATAGAACCAACTAAAATGCAGATAAACACGGTTTAATCCGATTTAGCCGGAGCGCTCGAAGCATTTCCCATGATGACGTCAGAGAAGCAGTTTGACGCGGAAAATGTAAAAAAGCTTAATTGTCTCAATTTTGTCTCACAAAAATCATAAAGCATTTTTTTATAGATGTGTATTAGTATTCCTTAGTGAGTTAATGATAGAAATAAATAGTTTTAGTAGCATAATTCCATTATTGATGGACACCCGGAAGAATATCTGATCGCGCATGCGCAGGACGGATCAGGTAGTGAAAATAGCCCCCTGGTGTTTTTCTTTTTTTAGTTTTATTTTCATAAATGCAGAAAACACTTTCAGGAAAGCAGAAACGTACAATTGAACATATGATATCCATAACAGTTTTCTTTCAGAAAAAGAAACAATAAAAAAGAATGAGAAAGAAAATTAAAATTAAATAAAAAAAACAATAAAACACACACAGGGGTTTAACTAAAGTATATTGCTATCAAGTCTGAAAAGTTTAAGGCCTTATTGTTCTCCAGTAACTTAATCGAGGCATGAAAACTTTTAATATCATTTTGGAATGCTTGAAAATTTGGAGAAACTTTAAAAAATCTGCATTTGTGGATTAGGAATTTTCCCATAATGAAAATAATATTACATATAAATCCCACATTTTTATGATGAAAAGTAATGATAAATTTAACTCCTTTATATTAAAAATTAGGAATCACATTTTTTGTTGATAGCCAATCATAAATCTTGTCCCAAAAATACTTAACCAAACAACAATTGTAAAAAAGATGCTCTTGTGTTTCTAGATCTTTCTGACAAAAGTTACATTAACATCAAATTTAAATCTTAAACTTAATAACTCTGCACAGGGATATATATTATTTATAGTTTTAAAATGAACTTCTTTCATCTTTGGTAGGAAATTTAAAAATCTGGTTCTGACCTAAAGAACTTCCATCTCTGAAAACACGTTTAAAGATAAGTTCCTCTTAACTGGGAGAGAAAAAATTGTGTTGTTTATGTTCTATTATCATTTTCTTATTAAATGTGAGATCCGTAAAATCGTAATTGTCTATAAGAAGAGTGGGAAAGATCGGTGTTACATCAGAATATTGAATCATTCCTTTGATCGCCCTAATCAAAGATAGAAATTGTTTCCGTGGACAATCTAAATTATATTTTCTTTTCCAGAATATCACCCTTTTTGTCCATAAGATGTAAAATGGCCCAGATACCTTTCTCCTCCCATTCTCTGTAGTATAGAGATTTATCTCTTATAAAAAATGTATTCGTTATTCCAAGTAATCAAATTATGTGGCGTAAAACTGTCCTTGTGTAACATTTTCCAATACTTTAGAACTGGTGTGGTATTCTGATAATTAAATCTGTACTTTGACAGGATCAAAGTTACATCTTAAGAGGAATTTTATTCCTCCAATTTTTTTGAAAAAGTTGTGAAGGGGAACTAAACCATAAACTTGTTTCATCTTTAATAAAAGTCTGAAGCCATTTTAATTTCCTTCCTTCACATTAAGTTTAGTTCAATAAAATCTATCATAAGATGTTAGAATGGAATCAACTGGTTTTGTAGCTTCGTCATTTTCTGTCCTAGAAATGTTGTGACACACAAAGATTAGGTAATCTTCACAAAACTCTGTTGCTGTTTGAGAAAAATGAACACTAGTCAAAAATGATTCAAGAAATCTTGAAGGTGTGGAGAGTTGATTTTATGATTAAACTGCTTGCCATAATGGAAAGTCTTGCAAGCTTTACTTAGCTGCTACGTACCGGTCACATGACTTCAAGTAAACGAGCTGATCCGATTGTCATTAGAATAAGGAGAATAACGGGTTAAAACAATTAATAATCTGCAAATATGCAGAGATTAGCACATTAAATGGTGAAGTGTTGATATTTTCTGCTTATATTGAAGGTCAGGTTCACACAAAATGAACAGGAAATATTGGCACTAGTTATTTTAACCGGCTCTAACTTCACTTACCCTCTGGTTTCAATCTAATATTGAAAAACAGAATTGGAAAGCTGTTTGTTCAATTCTATTCAGTTTATTTCTATAGCTCCAATTCACATCATGTCATCTCAGGTCACTTTCCAGTTCACCAGATCATCCAGTCAGATTGATTCAAAGTTTTCTATCTAAGGAAAACCAGCTGATTGCATCGACTCATTGACTCTTCAGCAATCCCTCACACTAAGCATGCTTGTAGCGACAGTGGAGAGGAAAAACTCCCTTTGAACAGGAAGAAACCTCCAGCAGAACCAGGCTCAGTGTGAGCGGCCATCTGCTGAGGCCCACTGGGGTTCAAGGAGACAGAAGCAGACATAGAAAAAGAAGCATAGATACAAAAGGCAACCAGCTCCACAGGCGGCCCCGTCCAGGAAACACACAGCCAGGCAGACGAGCTCCGAGCCAGCTCCCATGTCAGAGGATGAAGAGAGCACATCCAGTTAGTCACAGTCAGAGAAACAGGACCACACTGGAAAACATTGGCCTTTATCACTTTAATACTGTTCGCTTATTGCAGCTCGGCCGTTTTCAGTGCGTACAGTGAGAGCATCGGGGCTGCAATGAACGGCTGAAATGGAAGCATAAAAACAAACATTAAAAATGTGCAGCAAGAGGAAACGAGCAGCAATAAATCAGATGATAGAAGCCCCAAGATTATCCACTAACTGGAAATTAGTCTGCATGGAATTTTAAATATGTGTTTAATTAGCAAGGAAAATCTGGTCTGTCGTCAGTGATTTACTTGAAAAATCCAGAAGCTTTGCTCCTTAATTATCCTGTTGGTACAATGTGACCCTGAACTGGTCCTGGCTGCTGCTGACCCTATGAAACATTTCTGGGTCTGAGACTGGCTCTTAGAGACTACTATAAATGCATTTAATAAGGATGTTAGTTTATGTAAAATTCTACTTTTTTTTTTAAATGGAGAAAATTGTTGCAAAACTATATAATAAAAATGACTAACATCTTTCCTTTTCATTGCCCAATTTGCAGAATAACATCGTCTCCTTGATCTTAAAGCATTAAAATGACAGAAAAACAGTAAACCTTAAAAGATTGTTCTCTAGGACATTTTACACACAAAAAATGACAAAATGTTTTATTATACACATCAATAAACTTAAAAGGACTAAAAAAAAAATTAAAATATCAACTATATTGATAACTGTAGTTCTGCACTCCGCCAGCAGGTGGCGACATGTTCACACGAAACTTCATGAAATGTGTGGTTTTTCCTCCAACCTGAGAAACATTGATGAGATTTCTACTTAAAATAAACCCTGGCAGCGTTTGGATCAGTCATCAAAACAGCAACATTTCATGTAAAAACTACTTTTCTGATATTTTAGAAAAAAGAAAAACAAATAAAAGCTGAACATGACTTTATAGCAAAGAGGTGGAAACGCTGTAGGTACCAGATTGACTCGGGGGCCTGCACCTTTTGAGATGCATCAGAGCGTCCGCCATCTTAAATGTGGCAAATCTGCAGTTTCTCAGTCACTTAAACAGTATCAGAGGGACTTTAATCTCTGAATATACTTTGTATTCGTAGTATTTTTGGTTTTGTAATATTACAAGTTTATTTTTTGTATCCCTTTAGCTTCATTCTCCTGAATTTATTCTCGTTACAAATGCAGACCGCGGGCTCAATGTAGTTTGTTTGAGTGGCGTTGCCATAATGTCACGTCATCGGGAGGCGCAAGGCCCATGGCGAATTCGGTGACGTCATCGGAAGGCGCAGGGACCATGGAGAATTTCTTCGTAAAATTGTCCGTTTACAAACCGCAATCCCGCTTTCGAATAAAACCTACACCCCGCTATAATTACTTTAGTAAGCTGTCCAGACCAATCAAAATGTTTTGCGCAATTGTGCAAACTTTAAAACAATTATGTATTGCGACGTCATCAAAAGGCGCAGGCCCCCGAGTCAATCTGGTACCCACAACGGAAAACAGCAAATACTAAAAACAGGAAAAGACAAGAAAGGAATGAAGTACGGAAGGAAATGAAGGACGCAAGCTGATGCAAAAACTCGTCTGTACAAAGGGCTTAACCCCAGTTACCATGGTAACAGACCCAGATTCCTGAACCAATCAGAACCAAACTGTAGATTATTTCAACTTTAAAGTCGCTTGGTTTGGATTTAATATTTTATTCCACAAACAAACAAAAAGGTATAAAAACAGGCAGATATCTTTATTGGACACATAAAATATTAAAAGACGAAGCGGTGGGAGTACAGCCGAGCTAGTTCTGGCAGCGCAGCGGCAGCCTGGACTTCTGAGGAGTGGCCTGGCCTTCGTTCTCCGCCACCTTTGACCTGTTGGCCGCCTTCGGCTCCTTCTTCCCGCCTTTCTTCTGCTGTTTAAGGACAAACATACCCAGATTACGGCGAAGCGGTTTGGGTCAGATCCAGATCCGAGCGGCCGGACTCTGAGCTCACCTTGAAGAAGGGAACGCGGTGGCTCTCGTTGAAGACCAGGTTCTCGTCGATGAAGGACGGCTCCGTAGCCAGGCTTTCGTTACAGGTGCTGAGGTCGTCCTCCAGGGAATCCTGCAGAGGAAAAGCGGATCAGATCTCCCCCCGGCAAACCGCAGCCCCTCAGACCGCAGGCGGTGTTCTCACTCACATGGTCACCCAGGCTCTGCTTGTCGTCTTCCTCTGGAGTTTCCTCCTCTTCCTCCCTCTGCTGCTCCTCCAAGGCGGCCTGCAGCTCCTCCTGCTGCCTCCTCAGGGCCTCCAGCAGCTCGCTGCGGCTCCGCGTCTTGTTTAGGTGTCTGGGATAAACGAACTCCCGGCGCTGGGGGGTCAGACCTGCAGGTGACGGCAGGAAGAAGGTCAAAGGTCATCCCGTATGTTAGGGCGGGTTCTGACGTCCCTCTGAGGCTACAGCTGCTGCTCACCGGTAGGAACGTCCTGCTTCAGCTCCTCCTGCAGGAAGCTGTGAACCAGCCGCTGGCTCTCCTCCACCTGCTCCTCCAGCTCCGCCCGCTGTCGTTCCAGAACCGTCCGGTCTGAGCAGGTCTGCTCCTGCAGGGCCGCCAGCACCAGCTTGGACTCCTCCTGCCGGGCGCGCATCTCTCTCTGGGCCGTCTGCAGCTGCTCGGCGCAGCGCGTCTCCACCCTCTGATCAGACGTCAGTGTTTAAAGGAAGACTGGGAGGTTTGGAGGAAAAGCAGGAGTCGTCTCTACCTGACAGAGGCTCTGAGCGTCTCCTGAAACCTCCCCAATCCGGCTCAGCTGATCCTGGGCTCGGCTGATGGCGTGCTCTCTGGTTCTGAGGGTCCACTGCATGTCCCGCTCCACCAGTCCTGCAGTCAAACATGAACGCCGTCACATATGGACGTACGGCGAGGTCTCCCCGGAGCGGTGGCGGTGGGAACCCTACCTGACACCTTGCAGTGGAGGTCCAAACTGTAGCCGTCCACCTCCTCCAGCAGCTTCTGGTTCTCCTCGGCCGTCTGACGGAGGGAGGAGGAGGTGGAGCTCAGCAGGTCTGCCTGGGAGGAGGTCCGACTCTCCGCTGAGCTGCAGCGGCTGAAAGCGGAGCAAACAGACGGCGATCAGAGGAGGAGCTCAGGTTTGCAGACGGAGGATGAAGGGTCTTTATCTCACCTGCTGATGCTCGCCTGCAGATCCTGAGCAGGAGGCTGCAGAGCGCTGGCGGCCGAATGCAGAGCGGCGTAGTCCTGCTGCGTCTCCATGGCGAGCAGGTTCAGCTGGTCCTGGAGGCACTGGATGGTCTGCTTCATACCCTGACAACATGACCGCACGCACGACCGTTACACTGATACTTCTACACTTCTTTTGTATCTATGCTTCTTTTTCTATGTCTGCTTCTGTCTCCTTGAACCCCAGTGGGCCTCAGCAGATGGCCGCTCACACTGAGCCTGGTTCTGCTGGAGGTTTCTTCCTGTTCAAAGGGAGTTTTTCCTCTCCACTGTCGCTGCAAGCATGCTTAGTGTGAGGGATTGCTGAAGAGTCAATGAGTCGATGCAATCAGCTGGTTTTCCTTAGATAGAAAACTTTAAACCAATCTGACTGGATGATCTGGTGAACTGGAAAGTGACCTGAGATGACATGATGTGAATTGGAGCTATAGAAATACACTGAATAGAATGGAATAGCAGCTTTGACCTTTAGTGCCCCTGATTCATTTATAACAAAGGTTTATACAGAAATGAGTAACTAATTTAATGCTCTTTGAAATTATTTTAATACCATCAACAAATTCCAATGAAAAAAAACTGTATTTTAAAGTTAATGGAGAAGATTTTAAGACAGCACTACTAATGAAATGAAACTTATCTGGAAATATTTCAATGATCACTCCTCTGAAACTGTTTAACGCCTAAATTAACTTCAAATGTAGAAACCTGCCGGCAGAATATGTTGGCTTTTATTATCCTGCAGTTTGTAGCACAGACCTGAAAAACACTAACAATTTTTTTTTTTATTGAATGATGCTAAATTCATTAAATCTCAGCAAACGTATTAGTTTTAGTTACAAATAATGATCCATAGATCATTCTTTGCTAAGCGAACTTTTCCTTTAAATAAATTTTTACAAACGCGGAAAAATCCTTGGTAATCTTTACCATCGACAGGATGCAGCTATGTCCTGGATTCCATATTTTCCAGCCCCTTTTGTTGAAATTAGCATTTCACTCCCCGTTATTAACAGTCTTTAGATAGTAATTACATTCTGACTTTTTCATTTATTGGGGGAATAATAATGAACAGTCAGATAAACACAAATCAAATGAACATTTTGCCAAATAAAAAACTCGCCATCAGAGCCAGCAGTACTTCGCAGACAGGCCGCCGCTGGCCCTGGCCGCCGCCGGCCCGACGCTGGCCCTGGCTGCTGCAGACGGGCTAACGTTCGCCCTGGCTGCTGTTAGCCTAGAAGTTCTGCTGGTTGCCACGGTCCTCTAAACATCGGCACTTTTTTAAAATTCTGTATTTAATCAGTAAATGTTCCATATAGTGAAGCTTAAAGTATAATTTTCTCGCCTCAAATTATCTTAAAACTTACTTTTATAGAACAACAGCAACAGAAAAGGAAACTTTTTTTAACGAAATACTCTGAGCTCTGCGAGCGCTAACCTGGAACCTGCCGCAGTGCATTCTGGGACAGCTGGCAGTCTGGAGAACGGACCAGTCTGCTCTGATGCATGCTGGGTAAAGAGGGAGGGGCCAGAACAACATCCTGGGACTTTGTCCGTTCTCGGTCTTTGCGTGAATTAGAACAGTTCTAGGGCTGAGGCTGATGATGTTTCACGAGAACGCACAAGAACACATAGTGAGAAACGGCCTAAAGCTTTTCCACCTGAGTTCTGCATAAAGCATATCAACAAAAATTTGTTTTTTGTCATAAATTCTAAATATTTATACTTTTACAATTCCAGAATAATAGCTGCTGTAAGAGCGCCGCTCCGCTAAAGGCCCGTTAAGAGTCTCTCTAATCCAGCATGCTAAAATCAGACGAGGATTAATTGATTAATCAGGATTAATCCCATCGTTTCAGGCCTAATCTAAACATCTAGATTCTCCTCACCTTCTGGTGTTTGTCCTGCGCCCGTTGGATCTCCTCCTTCAGCTTCTCCTGCTCAGTCTGGAGCGCGCTCAGACCGTCCACGGCAGACTGCCGCATCGCCGCCAGCTCCAGAACCAGACCGCTGAAGAACGCCGCCGTCTCCTTCATGGCCTGAGTGGGTGGGGGGGGACAGTCAGGCTCTAGCTCACCGTGGAGAGGGGCGTTTAAAGGTTCAGGTTTGGACTCACCTGGTCGGCCATGACGCGCTGCTTCTCCACCGAGGACTTCAGAGCGTCGCTGAGCTCTTTGACGGCTGACAGACCCAGCAGAGTCCGAGAGGACAGAACCTCCATCGCCTCCTGATGCTCCTCCTGAACCAAGCAGAACCCTCGGTTAGTGGGAAGCAGACGTCTACTGGGCAGGAGGCGTAAAGCAGAACATCCTGAGGCTGATGGATGCTCTTCCTCCCATCAGGGAGCTTCTCACCAGCAGCTGCAGCACCTCCTCCTTGCTCTCCTGACTCAGAGCCTCCTGCTGCTTCATCTTCTCCACGCAACGAGCCACGCCGTCGGCCACCAGCGCCTGGACTCCCGCGAACGTCTCCACGGTGCTGAGGGCGCCCGCCAGCGCCTCCTCGTTCTTCACCAGCAGACCGTCTGAACAGAAGAGACAGCGGTGAGCTGCAGGAGGCGGAGCGGCTCCTGGCAGAAGCTCTGCACACGGAGGCTCCTCCTACCGAAGGCGTGGGAGTAGCTGCAGAGCACGTGCTCCTGCTTGGCCCCCTGCTGCTGGATGCAGCGGTGCACGCTGCTGAAGGCCCCGTCGATCCTCTGAGTGAAGCTCTGCTGGATCTCCATGTTGTGCTGCTCCACCTGCAGGAACCAGGACAGGCGGGCGGTTCTAGAACTGGATCAGCAAGAACTCAGCCTGTTTTTATTGGGTCATAATATTGGTACCAGAACCACCAGAGCAGGGTTCCTACAGAATGAGGCAAGTTAAATTCAAGACTTTAAGACTTTTTAATGCCACTTGAAATAAAAATTTAAGACCAAATTCACAAGAAACACAAGAAAAACCTGCTTGCAACAACTTAACCCAAAGGTTTATTTTAACATAAACCACTGCACTAATGTTTCACATGTTGAAAAGCTTCGCATACAGGAAGAAAGCTAAAAACACACAGATGACAGATAGATTTGAACAATTATTTAACTGAATTCACAAACTTTGTTTTAGCAGCGAACAAAACAAATCAGTTTTAAAGCCCCAACATAACCAGTGCTAAGTCTTTTTTGCAGCTATTTTTCTTTGTATGGTTTTCTTAGTCTGTTTGATTTGGTGATAAGTGGAGGCGTTGCAGAGACAAGGGTGGAACTAAACTGAGAAATACCGGCTGTTTCTCTGTAACTCCATTTTGATGCTTTGTGTTTCGTGCTTCGCATGTGCGACTCCACTGCCTTAATTCCCATCGTTCTGAGCTTGAATGACTTCTTGCACTAAATCCACTGAGCCTCATGTATGTTCCCTGGTTTTAGCCATGGAGAAAACTCTTGGCTGGAGACAATTTTGGTTACATTTACACTTGCTCAGGTTTTCCAGACAAAAAGTTAATGGCGCATCTCCCAAATGTCCCGGCCGCAACAGCGCTTTATTGGTTCCGCTATCGGGACGGTACAGAGCCCCCTAGGAGACATTGGAAATATTTTTTTCTTTTGCGTTACCTCGCAAAAGTATTTTTTCAAACCAGCTGTTGTAGTGCGATCACCAGGAGCCCCTTGGTGTGTTCAGTGATTTGGGGTCTCTGCACTTTATGGCGGTGGAGTTATTGATTTTTATTTGCAACGTTTTTCTGTTGTTTTACCATTTGCAGACGGTCCCTAACCTCTCGCCTGGCCGCTGCCTGTGCATAGAGATCAATGTAATACATCCAGCTCGCAGAACGGCTCGTTTTTCTCGAAAATAACGCTTTTTGATTCTTGTAATACGTAGTCTGTGCTATCAGGACATGAAAGAGGCGCCATTTGTGTTTCAATAATGAGAGTTCTTGATCCCGGGAGTCTGAATCTGTGAATATCTTTCTAACTTTACCGAAGTAAGGCTTTGCGAGGGAACGCAAGAGAAAAAAAAATTCCTAATGTCCCCTAGGGGGCTCCGTAGGACGGAACCAATAATGGCGAGCCGTTATTTTTATTTTTTATATAAAAAAAAAAGATTGCAATTTTAATGTTTTATTTATATTACATAAATAAATTGTAATAAAAATGATCCTATTTATGATGTTTTAAAAAAAACTGATTTAAGACATTTTAATACCAATTAAGGCCTTAGTTTTATTTTGAAGAACTCAATGCCTTTTAAGGCTTTTCAAGGACCCGTGGGAAACCTGCAGAGAGGAACCCTACGGGGAGCTACTGGTCTCCCAGTTCCTCATCGTTCCGTCAGAATAACAACAAGCTGCTTCACTTTATGCAACCTTTAAAATCTCAGGAATCACTTTGAAAAACTCTTTTTTTTATAATGTTCAAAAAATAATTTTTTCTAAACAAAAACCAGGATTTGTTGGACTGTTTAATAAAACCTGGAACTCCATTTCTAACATTTTGAATTGAAAAAGGGAAGAGAAACGTCTTCAAACTTGGAAACAAAGTCCAGAGGATTGATTTTTAACGTTTTCGATCCAGAAAGTCTTCGCTGCCGTTAGCCTCTTGGACCATCATTCTGGATGTTTGTCAGTCTAAAATAATCCCTTCCTGCTGCAGAGAGAAGCTCCAGGTCGACCATGACCACCAAGTAGAAGGTTACAGGTCTAGGCAGGCTGTATGTAAATATCTGAGCCTGCTTTGATCAGAGATCAATGGATGAATCTAAAGCATGAAGCGACTGTGAGGAGGAAAAAGCGATCAGCTGAGCTTCTGAAACCTGGCTGCTAGAAGGACCACCTGACCTTCTTCTTGCGCTCCAGCTTCTCATGGAGTCCCGTCACGTCGCTGGTGCTTTCGTCCACCGTGCTCAGCAGCTGCAGGAGGAGAGCAGACGTCAGTCGGAGGCTGAAGAACGTTGAAGGTTTGAGCTACAGGTCAGAACGCGGCTGACCGCCGCCTCCCGTGTGAGGGTCCGTACCTGCCCGGCGGTGTTGTACAGAGATTCGTGGACCGAGCTGAGCTGCGAGCAGATGAACTCCTCCTGGACCAGCTTCTCTTTGGTCTTCTCCAGATGTTTGCTGGTCTCCTCCAGCCTGTAACCAGGCAGATTAATAACCTGGACCTGCAGAGTTAACAGCTGGAACAGACCATCAGGAGATTCTACCTCTGCTGCTTCTCCTCCAGATCCACGGCACGCTGCTCCAGCTGGTTCTTGCTGTCCACGAACAGATCGTTCACCTGCAGAGAGGAGCAGACCTCAATCTTCTGCCAACTGATCCTGAAGGAACCTTCAAGCACGACTAGATCCAAATCATCAGGAGGACAGAGTTAAAGTTCAGCTCCAGACGCTTTAGACATTTAAATATTTAAATCATTGTCAGCAGCTCAGAGAATCTCGATAAAAGCAGCCGTCCTCCAAGCTCCGCCTCCTCATCTGCAGGTTTCTGAGGGACAACCTCCAGGAGGGGGAGAAGGGGGGCAAATACCTTCTTCAGCTCTTCCTCCATGATGGCAATCTTGTCCACGTACTCGGCGATCTGCTCCTCGTGAGCCGTGATCTGCTTCATCATGTTCCTGCGGAGCACAAGCAGCAGGTCAGACCCGACGGCTCGCTGCAGACTCCTCCTGACCCGAGGTCCGCCATGACAGCTGAAGGCCGCAGGCTGAACCAATCAGGAGGAAAGGAATCCATTTCCACTTTAATATCTGAGCTTCCATCGTGTTTCTGGTCATATTTTATGAATAAGAGGAGCTTAAATCTTTCAGGTAAATAAATAAAAACAAACCAGCATAGTTTCCCAGTAAAGATCAATACCTACAGGTTTCTTTACTGGGACGTCCAAGAGGTGTCCCAAAAAAATAAATAAAAAAAGTGTAATTATGTGAGCAAATATGTGCCACATAAAATAATCTGACTTCAGATTTTATTTCTGTTTATTTTTTCTGATATTTTAAATCATTCAAAGGAAGCTCCACTCTCCCCCAGTATAAAAAGTTTCTCCCATTAACCTTCCACCCCCCAGGTTCTCAGAGAACCCTACTTAGAAGCATCAAACACTCAGGGAATAAACAGTGAACAGTGGAGAACCTTCCCAGGACCCCGCTGACCTAAAGCGTCTAGAACCAGCTGGATTATTTGGATCCATTCTTCACTTCACTGAAATCATTGGAAAACAGCCTCAGCTGAAGTTAGACCTGAACAACCAGGGAAGAAGACTTTTTAATCTCTAATCCAATATTTTTTCCCCCCATGTGACACTGACTGCGTATAGAGAGGCTCAGACTAGGCAGGGTGAGCAGATCTGCACATGAAAAGATATAAAATAAAATCCAACAAATTCTATAAAACAAAGTTCTACTTAACGAGTTTGTGCAGCTTGTAGAACCAGAACATTATTTTTTATATCTATTCCAGGGCTCGATGTTAACCATCGCCTGATCTCCCGATGCAAGTAGGATCACCACTTTATCCGTTTTCTGTCCTCCTATTATGGGAAAGGTTTCTATTTTAATCTTTCATCGTTTTAGTTCTAAACTCGACGCCTGACTCCAAACTGACTCTTTCTCTGTGAGATTAACAGATTTTATTTGGTTTTTTCCCCAAAGCGGATGCGTTTTACTTTAACTGCGTCTCTCTTCCCGTCAGACCCATGAAACAGCTGCTGAATTGCTGCGCAGTCCGACTAAAACAGACCTGGGATCTATCTCAGTCGCAGCTATGCTGCCCCCTGCAGGAGATCATGTCAGGTGTGATCACATTTGACTTTCAGTTAGCGCTAAACGCCACGACCTCATCCAACCTTTCTGCGGGATCAGATTCGGTGTGACTGCAGAAATCTGTGAAGGAGTGAAATCTTCTGGCATCAGAGAATCGCTGGGATAATCTAAACTCACTCGTAGTTTTCTGAGGACAGATAAACTCCGTTTCGATCTCGAGTTGCAGCCAAGTCCCGTTTCAGACGCTCAATCTCCTCGGTGTATTCCTGAGCAGAAAGAAAATAAAAGCATTAATGAGCCCAGATTAACTAAACATGTGAACCGAACTCAGGAAAAGCAAACATCCCGGAGGCCTACAGGGGGCGCTGCAGACTGTAAAAGGCTGACCTTGATGAGGGTCCTCTTGGTGAGCTTCTGGTTGACCTCCGGCTTGTTCATGATGTTCTTGGCCCTGCAGGCGTACTCCAGCGTGCTGAGGGTCTCCTGCAGGCAGGAAGACGGTCAGAACATCTCAGACTCCTACTGGACCCGGATCCCGGTTGGATTCAGGATCTTACCTCCAGGTTGCTGGAAGAAGGCGACACCGTGGCGATGATGGAGGTTTTAGTCCGGCCTCCCAGCGAGTCCTGGAGGATTCGGGTCAGTTTGGACTCTCTGTGGGAGAACAGAACCAGACAGGCGCCTTAAAAACCCGGCATGAAGAAACGGATCAGGATCGGTTTCAGCCGTTCGATGCGGTCGAATTCAGCCCAGCAGGAACCAAACAGAAAACAGCTTTAAAGTTCAGTTATATTCAGAATTCAAACTTCTGAAAGTTCTTTAAATCTGAAATGATTCCATCCTGTTCAATAAATGATCAGTGTTTTTAATTCAGAGTAATTTTCATGTGAATGTGCTTTACTGGAGGCATCCATGTTTGTCAAAGAACACTACTGCCACCTACTGGTTAGTGACGTCACGGTGCGGTATCGGCTGTTGATCAAGTCCCAGTGCTGTATCTGGTGTTTGTCACAACGCGCTATTATCCAAGTCATCTTGAAAACATTCTTCTTCCAAATGTTGGCTACATATTACGGGTTTTTTCTCTGGCCAGAAGTTCGATGGCAAATCCTCCCTCTTCAAGTTGGCGATCCAACGACCAACCCGTCCGTGGAGGATCAGGAATCAGAAAGGTGGAATAACTCTTTTTTTCACTTTTCCCCGATGTATTCCAGCATCCAGCTGCCATGCACGTGGGCATTGTCAGTTTCACTATAGCTCTGGTGAATTTCAATGGTGAAGTCCTCTGGAAATCTTCAATAATTGTTGTTGATTGCAGATGTGTCTAGTAGTTCCCATTGATTTAGCTTGTAAAGCGGGGAGAATGGCGCTAGGCTTACCGCACCGTGACGTCACTGCTGGAAGATGGCAGGAAAATGGCCGCTCCTAGACTCAGAGACCGCCATGAAAATTATTATGTTTTACTGATTAATGCTAATAATCGCTAACGTTTTAGTTTTAGGTGTAAATAATGATCCATTGATTATTTCTTGCTGACTTTTCCTTTAAAGGAAAACAACTGAAATAAAAATGTTCTCCATTAATTCAGGAATCAGAACCAGAGGAAGCAGAATAATCCCAGCGCTGTTAAACCACGGCGTCCGCCCCACCTGTACGGGACGTGCGGCCTCTTCTCCACCAGCGCGGTGATGACTCGGCCCAGCGTCAGCAGCGACTGGTTGATGTTCCCCGCCTCTCGGGCCCGTTTGTCCACGGCTCCTGATCGGCCGATGTTCTCGCTGCCGGCCAGGTCCACCTGAACAGAAGCGGGTTAGTCTGAGCGGACAGGCAGGAAGCGGGTATCGGGCGGTTCCCGTGGCGACAGCGTTACCAGGTTGAGTTTGCCGATCTTCACCAGCTCCTCTCCGTCCAGCGTGATCTCCTTCATGTGGATGGTCACGGAGAACACCGAGTGGGACCGGCTGCAACGACAGAACAGAGCCCGTCAGAACCCCGCCTCCCACCCTGCTGCAGCTGCTCTGGTTGCTATGGGAACCTGGAGTATGCGTTCATGAGCGTGGAGGCCGTCCGTCTCTTGGCGGCGCCGCGCTCCAGGATCTGGTAGACCTCGTCCTTGTTGTGGACCACCACCTCCTCCAGGCCCTTCACCACCACGCCGCGCTGCAAAACAGACGCGGTCAGACCGAGGACGCCGCGGACCCCCCCGCCCGGCCTTGCCGGCACCCACCTTGTTCCGCGGATCGTCGAAGAGCTGCAGGCGCTCATTGACGTCGTCGGTGGGGCTGAGGAGGTCGAACAGCTCCTCGTTGTAGATCTCCAGCAGCGACACCTTGATGGAGAACTCGGTGCCGTTCTCCGACAGCTTCTCAAAGATCTGATGCAGCGTTCTGGGGATGATGCCGGCCAGCGGGTCCTAAAGACGCACAACAAAGTCCGGTCAGTGCGGCGGTGAGCTTTAAAGCCGCGCTGCTCAGGGTTCAGACTCACCTCCTCCCAGGTGAAGGCTGCGTCCGGGCTCCTCTCCCCCTCCATGGTGAACGTCTTCCCGGTTCCCGTCTGGCCGTAGCTGCAGAACAAACCGAGAGCGTCAGCGTGCTAATGAGGCGCGGCTCAGGAGGCCGAAGAGGGACGACGACTCACGCGAACACGGTGCAGTTGTATCCCATGATGACCTCGTCCAGGATGGGACAGACCACGCTGCGGTAGACGTCGATCTGCTTCGCCGCCGGACCGAAAACCTGAGGAGGGAAAAATCAAAGATGGTGGCAGCAGATCCTTCAACGGCTGGTTCTGACGGGGCGGGTCCGGTTACTCCCACGTACCATGTCGAAGGTGTAGGTCTTCCTGGAGGACTTGTCGTTGATGCCTCCCGTCTTCACCGCCACCTCCTTCCTGGTCTGGTCGCAGTCGATGACGTTGTGCGAAGACTTTCTCTCCACCGTGTTGAAAGGTCTGAAAACGCAAAGCCGATTTATTATTCCTTTATTTACACCTTTATATGGCAAGTTACCATTTTTGATTCCTTGCATCCCCCTTACAGAATTTCCTGGATTCCAATAAAACTATTCGCTGAAAATGTTGATTTTCAAAGTATTTCACTGAGTCGCCCTTTAAAGGGTTAAGAAATATTTTCCTCTCTGCACTTCAATTAATGTCCCTTTATTCTCTCACTTATGGAATATTAAATAGAATTAACCAAGAAATAATTATAAAATGAAAATCACAGTAATTGATACGATAAAGATTCTTCTCTCCAAAAAAAAAAAAAAAAAAAAACTTAAAGAAGATCTTGAACCAAATGAAACCAAATCTGATGTCAGGAGGAGGAGGGATCTTTAACCCCGTAATGCCAAATGTATCATATTTCATACATACGGTTTCTGAAATGTTTTGCTTCTGACACCTTTTGCATAATTTAATGGTAGAAACTTTGCTCAAAATCCTATTATACACAATCAGATATACCTGATAACAGAGGGCAGAAAATAATCTTGACTTATCGCATAGTAATAAATTATTAATATCAAAAATGTATTTCGGTTTTTTCTTTTTACATATTCTGTTAAAAGGCCAAATAAGGACTTCAAACAAAAAAAAAGTAATTTTCTGTTTTGTTTTATTTGTGGATCAGGCTTTAAAGGGTTAAAGGAATAGCGCGTTCACGACGCTAGGGAAACCGCGGCAGACCAAGCCAGATGAAAGTGCGCATTCAGCGTCTGCTCTGCCGATAATGCAAGCGTAGAAGAAGAAATGTGCTGTTTACCTGTGCAAAGAAAGAAACAACGAAAGAAAAATGTCTGAGGACTTCAGTGTTGAGGAAGAGCATGAGTTCTTTGCCGAGCTGAATGCGCACTTTCATCTGGTTTGGTCTGCCGCGGTTTCCGTAGCGCCGTGAACTCACAGGCGCGCGCTTTTAGGAAATCCTATACACTACTGTTTATGCTCTAAAAACATTCTAAATGACTTCGTTTCAAGTAAATTCTGGACGCTACCCACTCAGGACACTTGGAATACATTGGACGAGCAGTATGGAGGAATATTGACACGTTTTTTGTGGACTTTTATGGACCTTTCTGCCTCGGGCGCCATAGACCTCCATTATTTGAATGTCAGCAGACAGCAAGAAGCCTCCCAGATCTCCAGATGCATTTGAGATATCAGAAAAGTACTCCAGAGTGTTGTTCAGCGTGGGGGTGAGTAGAAAATGAAGGCTAATCATGTTTTGGGTGTACTATTCCTTTAATGGGTTGAAAGGAAATGAACATCAAGAAGAAAAGGAAACTGGATTATTCCTGCAGTTGAAAACCTTTGACCTCCAGAGTCCACACACTCCAAGTACCGGTACTTTACTGTCATGTTAATCAACGAGAGCCGTTCCACATCCACGGCTACTTCCTCTGCCCGTCGTCCGCCTACGTCTTCCCCGTCCGTCACAATACAGAGCAGAACCATTTTTAGCTCCGCTCTGGTAAAGATCCGCAATCGCACCAAACAGAAAAGAACTTGGAGAAGATCCAGTTTATCAAATTAAAATATGGTAACGACAGATCGGTAGCTACTAATTAGAGAATAAATCTTATATATTACGCAAACTAAGGCTGTTTAATTAAACGATTGGATCCAAACTATTGGTTCTTCAACATTCCAGGAAGCAGATTTCTCATCTCCATCAAAATATTTATTTTATAACAAGAGGCTTAAAAGTTTCATCAAATCCAGTCAAAAAGGCAGAAGAGCGCCTCTGACAACCGCAACAGAAACTTCTCATCTCAGGCCTGGATGAAGAGATGCTGAGTTTGGAAGCAGAGCACAAACAGTTCAGATAATCCATGTATGCTCCTAATTATCCCGTTATAAAAATCCACAACAAAACAAAAACATTTGAGCAGAAATGGTTCAGATGCTGGATGCTGATTTTTTTTAATATTTCATTTCTGCACGTTTTTGCTCCTGAATTTAACGATAATATGGCGCACGCTCCCCTTGAGCTCTGAGGGAGTTGGAGCGGAGCAGGATGGGAGGAACAGCGGAGGCTGGAGGCTTTGCACAAAGCGGAGGGATTATGGGGTTATTCACTGTCGTCAGAAATCACGCAGTAATTTATAAATGTTTTAAATCAGGTTGGGTCCAGATTTTCCAGCAGGTGGATCCGGATCCGCACCGCGGTCCAATAATCTGTGACCTCTGGTTTAGAGGGAAAGAGGTGTTGGTTTAAAAACTAACTATTATACTCTTCTGAATCTAAGAATATTGATCTGATTTATCAAATATTGCTGCTAAAGCATGAGATCATTTGCTGATCACGTCTTTAAATCCTAGAACTGGAAGTCGGCCGTCAACCTAAAACATTTTACTCAGTAAGAGCAGCGCTACTTCAACATTTTATCACTCAATTACAATGTTTTTGGTAAATCAGCTGCTGGATAATAATTAATTGTTAAATACAAACATCTGATCTAATTTCCCAACAACAAACCTGTGATTTTTAAAATGTAAGGAAGAAGAAACCTTTACAGCGTCAGAAAAAAGGATTTTAAAATATCGGTATCAGTTATCGGCCAGTTAGTTTTTACACGCTGTTTCTTCAAGGTGATGCTTTTTTTATTTTGGTTGATAAATAGAATAAAGATTCCCACATTACTGACATTTATAAGCAGCATTGAATAATCCAGGTGGGACTGGATCCTATTAATCTAATCTGAGCTGATTAAAGAGGATTTTAGGATCTTCTAACCTTTACTGGAGCCACAGTGGTAAACAAAGACAAAGCTGAAGTTGGCCTCCCATTCAGGAACTACAACACCTAGACACGTTTAATCTGGACTAGATTAAACTATTGGTAGAATAATTCAAACCAGGTCTGGGATTTGTGAAACTTTAATAAAGCACATTTTTTGTGTCCATATCACACTAGAAGATGTCTGGCTCTAAAACGACACCTGGACCCATCTAATCTGGGCTAGATTATTCTGAACTATTGGTAGAAGAATTAAAAGCAGGTCTTGTGTTTTTTCAAACTTTTATTTGATTTGCGAAACTTTAATAAATGCAGATTTTAACACTTGATTTTAGACCTGGTTTTAATTATTCTACAATTCTTTATTTAAGATTCACAAATACCAGACCTGGTTTTAATTATTCTACAAGTAGTTTAGAATAATCTAATCCAGATTAGATGTGTCTAGGTGTTGTAGCTTTTTAATTAGAGTAGATTAAAGCTGCTAAAGGTGAGAACAAGCCCTTTACTCATGTCTTGAATCGGAGGCCAACTTCAGCTCGGTTAACCAGAGCGGGTCTCTTACCTGCAGCGGACCACCACCTGGATGTTCCGGCCCTTCTCCTCTCGCCTCCCTCCGGTCCCGTTGTTAGAAGCCATGATGGCCGCAGAGAGAAGCTGTGGAAGCCGTTAAACCTCCGGTTAGAACCAAGACTAGTTTAGAGCAGCAGACTAGTTTAACACAGCAGACTAGTTTAGAACAGCAGACTAGTTTAACACAGCAGGATAAAGAGCGTTTAAATTGGAATAAATCGCCATTTTAAAACTACCGGTAGAGATTAGCGTCATGAAATAACGAATCTAACCCAGAATAACTCACCGAATCTCGGTCTGTTCTTCCCGGGTTTAATGAAAATCTCGCGTAATTTCCCAACAGTTTAAATAACTTTATTTTATTATTAAAAAGATGTTTTAGTTCCTCCTCGGCAGAAACAGAAGCCTCCTCTGGCGCTCAGGAGGAAACTCTTCAAACTCTACTTTTAAACTTCAACCCTCCAATAGCCGCTCAGTAACGGACCAACAAAACACCCGATTGGTCAGAATTGACTAGTGACGCTGTCGCCGCGGAGCATCACGGGAGAATTCCCCGGACGCTGATAGGAATAATAATTACCACTAGATGGCGACATTATTCTGAAAACATTTCATTTTATTTCGTTTCTATTCTGATTCAAACCTAAAACAAAGAAAAAAAAATAAAGACCGCAAAAGTATTTAGCTGAATTGATTATTTTAACATTTAAAATGTCTGTCTGATCGGATGGATGGATGGATGAATTATGGATGGATGGATGGATCTTCTTTTTTTCTTTTTATTGCATTTCAAATATAAAATCATGTATCTTTTATCATGTTTCTCCCACATTTGGACTTTGACTAGGCCAAGGATTCCCAGTTCCTTCATTTTCAGCCAATCAGGTGGATTCTGTCATATATCTGAATAGTGTGGCAGGGTGCATTTTTTTATAGGCAGTATTTTATCACAGTGGATTCCATAATCACACGTAGAAGGTTTATTTCCTGAAATGAGTCCAATTCTGGTCTTTGTCTGTTTTCTCAGGTAAACTTTAGTTTTAGCTTCATGTTGTCGTTAGAGATCAAAGTTTTTCTCCTTGTTCATCTTCTGAAGTTAAACCTGAGCCTTTTCTCTCTGACTGTAATGTTTTTATTCACTCAGTAGGAGGAGCCTGCTGAAGATCCCACCTTTTAGGGTTTTTTTCTGGCTCCTTACAGGCTGGGTTTGAGTGACAGTAGGTTTCCGTAACAGAAAGTCTGATTTTAAAATTGTTTTAACCCTTTAAATCTCTTTGCAGATCTAATGTTCTTACCGAGGGCCTCACACGGCTCAGTGGATATTGTCATGGTGGGTCACTCCCACCTCCACCATGAGGAACGGCCAAACAGAACAAACCAGCTTCAAAATGCTGCATCATCATCATCATCAGTAACAACTTTTTAAAATCTCACTTTTCAAGAGTTTTTATATCTCTCTCATTTGGTTTTAATTGTTTATTTGATGCTTTAATTATTAAAGTTTTTTTTATATTACAGATAAATGTGTCCAGATAAGCTGAACTTACAGGCAGCCATGCTCTTTTTTTAAAGTTTTTTTAAGGGCTTACAAACTTCTATTTAGCATCAGATCACTTCCTGTTTGCCTAAATATAACGAGATCCTTTTTCTCTGATCCACTCTTCTAAACAGGAAAAGCAGGAGAACATTCTGTTTAACGGGGACAGATGTGGGACAGCTGCACAGCATCGCCAGGGTCTCCATTGAAGTTCTTTATGTCTCTGTCTTCTATGAACGCTGTGAAAATAAAAAACAAAGAACATCAGGATCAAATATTAGCTCCCCATTCATGCTCTCTCCTTGGAAGGGGTTCAAATTGCTGCTGAACAAGTCAGCCATATTTCCTGTCCTGTTGTAGATGTAGAAACAGTAAAGCCAATTATCTTCTGCGCCTCCTGGACCGCAAACATTTCCATAACGTCCACCCATTCTGTCTCCATCAGGATCAAAGCGATGCATTGAAGTACACAGCAGTAAATTGGAAATAACACAGCTTAAGAACACCTTTTGGAAGACTTATTCCTCCTTTAATTTTCTTGCTTTGGTGGGAATTTATTAACCTTTTATAATAACTAACAAACCTTTAACTATCTTTTTTTTTAATTAATTGTGAGAAAAACAATGATACCTCTCAGATGGTGACATGTGAGCTGACCTAAGTCAAGAACACGCCTAAAGACTCATCAGCATGTTTGTCTGTACAGGGACACAGATAAACATGCTGGACATTAACCTACCTTCAAAACCGCAGCAGCATCTTGAGGTCTCCATAGCGACCAATGGACAGACAGTCCAATGATCTAGTCCTCGGAGGTGGTTGGATCCTGATGCGTCCACTAGGCCAGAATGAAAACAGGACAATCATCTCCTGAAGTCCTGCTGAGTCCTCCTAAGGTTCAGGTGTGCTGAAGCAGAGAGACGTCTGGAGGGTAAAGTCCCTCTCTGTCCTGAACATGTAGAGGTGAATAAACTCTGCTGAGACTTTAACTCATACTGGAAGCTTTGGTCCAGTGAGACTGAAATCTCAGCAAAAAACACTTCAGGTGGAGCTGCTAGCATGATGAGCTTTGGTCCTCCTGACTCTGGTGCAGAAGGTTCCTTTCCTCTGACCTGGCTGCAGAAGGTTCCTTTCTTCTGACCTGGCTGCAGAAGGTTCCTTTCTTCTAAACTGGTTGCAGAAGGTTCCTTTCCTCTGACCTGTTTGCAGAAGG